TCCCTTTTTAAACAAAAACACGACTGGATGATTTTTCTTACCTTTTTCAGGACCTCGTGGAGCAGATACAAGACGAAGAAGCGGTCGCTTCAACTGATTTGATACAGATAACGGAAGTGTTGTCATCGGTTGTCAACTCGACTGATTTCACTCTGTTTACAGACACTAAACAAAAACACGAAGTTATTCAGGTATATCAACTTTTTTTGGTATACTATTAAATTCATGGGAATCTTTGTGAGTCCTGGCACTTTTTTTTAGTGCACGTAGATTTTTTAAATGTGTGTTCCTTTTTAAAACCATCCGTAGATACTTCAGCACTTTGACTCAAACCGGGTTACCATTTATACACCATCGGTGGAATAAACTTACAACGGAAGAAGAAGAAGAAGAGGAGGAGGAGGAGGAGGAGGAGGAGGAGGAGGAAGAGGAGTGACGAAGCTATTTTGTTGTAGTAATTGTGGTGATTTAAGTGCAGTCTCTTTAAGTTATTACATTATCGTTATTAGAGCACGGAAAAACCCCACCCCATCTCTAAGAAGGCTAAGGCTCCTTTCATAATCCGGGATGTAACATCGAGAAAGTGGGCGATTGAAATAAGTCATCATCCAGTCACTACTAATCGGTTATGTATAGAACTTACTCCTACATCTGATCTCTGTTTCTTTCAGCAACAGATAACAAGATATCCACTTCGATCTTCATCAGCCTTCCTTGTTCATTCCAAAATCCCGAAAACAGTCTGACTAGTGACTAAATATCCTTCCAATCCGTTGCCCCTGTCATATTGAACAAACTCCCTGCATTTGACTTGAATTCATCAAAGAACATATGAAAACACACCTCTACAATTCTTAATTTGTCCTTAAACTAAGGGGGTAGCGCTTTTTATTCTCTGCAAACGTCGCTATACGAATCCAGTTATTATTATTGATTATTATTTTGAAAGAGTGGTCCCTCTCGGCCCTTTTGAATCGTGAATTAATAATATTTCAGGTTAAACAGTGTAAATAAAAAAAATGTATACAAACAGCTTTTAATTCTATTTTCCTTTTCTTCATTCCTGGGCAGAGCTCTTTGGATACGATTTCTACGGTCATCCAAATCAGTGTCAGGAAGGTAAGCAAACACAGGAACAGTAGGAGGGGTATGATGGGGAAAATGGGAGGTGACTGGGGGAGAAGGGGGGGGGGGTGGAGGGCCACATATTAGTGCGACAACCCTTACCCATTTTGTCGACTAATCAATAATCCTTAATCGCAACACTCGTAACTGTGAAGACAATGGTAGCCTTGTCGGCAAAGAAAAATATTTCTTGTTTGTGGATTAATGTCTTGCCAAATAACGTTGGAACTGGGCTGGGACTCGAACCCTCAAGTCTTGGATCGAGAGTCAAGTGAGTTAACCACTATACCACGCCACCTCCATATAGTGTTCCTTATTTTCATTATCATCCTTCTGTCCGTAAGCTTATTAAATCACCTCTCGTTTCATCTGTTTCCCTAGGCCGAGGAGTCAATGGACAGCGCGGTTGATTTTCTGCAGGTGGGACACAACATTCTTGGTTCTCTTGAAGCCATGCAGAATGCACTACTTGGTGACGTCACAATATCCGATAAATTCACCTCCGACGAGATCGGTAGGGACAAAAAAAGGGCCGGTGCCATTGGACCAATAATGATTATGATAAGACTATACTTCTGCAATTCACATTTTCGGGAAGAAATTGAAGATTGATTTTATGGGTATCCTCTATGAATAATTATTAATAATGGTAATAATAACAATAATGATAATAATAATAATAATATTAATAATGGTAATAACAATAATGATAATAATAGTAATATTAAATATTAATAATAGTAATGATAATAATGCTTTGCACAGCAAAACCTAATTTCAATTCTTTGTTATGACAATAATAATGTCTTTGTGATTATGTAAATTTGATTTGTAGTATTGTATCTTTGAATGTAACCATGTATATATAATCAATAAATCCTCTGATGAGGTAAAGAAAAAAAAGTAATGACAATAATAATAATAATAATAACATTAGTAGTTGTTGTCGAAGTAATAAAAGTTATTGAAGTGATAGCAGTGGTAGAAGTAGTGATAATAATAATAACCACGATGATGATGATAATAACAATATCAATGGTAATAATAAGAATAACAACACTAATAATAATATATGTCAAGTTTATCCAAGGTAGCCTCATCACTGGTAGTGTTCTCCCTGAGGACCCTGCAATCATATTCTTACCCCGGCTTTAGCCGACTTGCACTATTTACATGCACAAGTTGATAAAAGGTCACGGTAAATGTTATCCGGAGCACAAATGAATAGTAGAAGACAGACTTTATAATGGGTAGCCGGTAGGATGCGAACATTGTGAGCGTCTGTTATATGGCGCCTGACTAGAATGTTCCCAGGGAGTGGAGAGTATGCATACATTGTCTTGAGTGCGGACAAGTCTGAATTTGATGACTGCACCCATTGTTGTTTGTTCATAATGCCACTGCAATAGTGAGCGATTTCCCTTTTTTGCACACCTGCGCCTTGAGCATTTTATTTTCATTTGAATTTGGCGCCTTACAAATTTCATACACATATCTGCAAAGCGCGAAGAGACATCGTCGATGCAATAATAAGCGCTTTATAATTCTAGAATTCTGTGAATATTATTTACCTGACAGAAATCATAACGGCTCCAACGGAAACAGGAGCTGACTTCATTTATCGTAGCGATGAGACGGGGATTGGGGACGATGGAACAACTGTCCGAATCTCATCAAAAAACTTAAAACAAGGTAAAAAGATTAATCTATCAAAACTACATTTTCTCTACTCCAATAAAACACTTAAAGACAGATTTGACTTCTGGTCATGCGAGTGAAAGTAACTGTGTGGAAGCCATTGGAAATGGTTGATTGTGTAGCACATACAAATTGGTTTATACTGTGCGGCTCGCAATCATCAGTTTGATATTATGGCATGATCTGGCATGAGTGTTTGGTCCGAACACATGAGCTATTTCTTGTCACACTTTGAATTCAGAGCCGTTTCTGATATACAATCCTCCATAATGCCATGCAAGAGAGCGAGAAAGATTACACACTATTCCCCCCTATTCTAGAACACAATTTTCTCTTTTATATTTATTACCCGTTGGACACTGGGCATCATTTCGATTGCGTTGTTACCTTCGCCACGCGGGTCTAAAAAAGATACTTTGTGCGCATACGCCCGTAATCCTAAGAAATGCTTGCGTTATTTCTTCAGCATTTATTATCATTCAACGTCACTCTCTAATAACGTGACGATACCGCGTTAATTGCTGACACAGTCCTGCACCACGGAAATGACGTCTCATTTACAATGAGCTTAAAGGATTTGCTTTTAAACACTTTAAATGTTTAATTAATTAGTTTTACGATTAGTTGATTAATCAATAAATGAATGAATTGATTTAGTGTTTGAAACACGTTAAAAATATGATAGTAGGCTATTATTACCAAGGATTATTAATAAAAAAATTTAAAAAAATTAGTCGTATTTTCTTACAGCAAGCTCTCTGTGGCACTGAATGGAACAACCCTGACAATTTGTTTGAAGAAAAAAAAAATGAATAAATAAATAGATACATCTGTTGATAGGACTGTCACCACGGAGAAAGGAAAGGTAGAATTATAGTTTATAATCATTCATGACTGATCCCTTGTTATATTGGTCGTGAACTTTCAAGCTTAGGCTATAATATTTCCTTCTCGTTGTTCATCCTTACAATCACATTCCTTTTCTTCTTTGGACCTTTTACACATTTTAGGATCTCGAGTCAGTATAGCGCTCTTAAAGGGATCTACTGCGTCGTTTCTACCCCAGACACTAACTCAGAAGAATAAGTAAGTAGTGAGCATCACAATAATCGAAATAGACAATTTCTATGAGATTTTGTAAATATCAAGAAATTGAACGAAATAATGAGTCTCTAATGGATTCAGTGGAAGATGGGAAAATCCAAGATAATTTACCCATACACTCCAGATTAAATTATAGATATTAAAATATCTGTAAATGGTATACATTTTGCTACGGTATTGTACAGGATCTATTTGCCCGCTACATTACCTGGTTCCAATATCCATGTATTCTACTGGCTCTAGTGTGTTTTTATTTCCTATTTCCTTGGTCATGCATATGCATTACTCTGTTTAAATTATGCATATTTATGTCTGGTACGTGACGTATGGATCACTTTCATAATGAGGACTTTGTACTTTGGCGACTGCAAGAGACTTCTATACACAGTTTAGTTTGGCTATCTTACTTCAGTTGGTTGCATGGTGTCCAGGCGCGTACGTAGGGGGGGGGGGGTTGGGGTCAAACCCCCTTTATTTTGTTTAATGTGTGTGTTTTGGAGGAAACCCCCCCCCCCCTTTTTAATCGGTGACCTAAAAACGGTGACTTTACCCCCCCTAACGGAACGAGATGTTGATCGGTCACATTTTCAAATTTTGGGACAAAAACAAAAAAAAAAGAAGAAAAAAAATGTCCTCTTACCCCCTCCCCCCCCCCCCCCCGCTTATTCAGCGGCTGGCTGAGTCGTTGCGAAATATTCGGCCCGATTTGAAATTGTTAAAAAAACACCTTGGAAAAATCCTGCGTACGCGCCTGATGGCATCTATTCGTTTGTTTTGTGTTTGCCAAACAAAGCAATATGAACAACTTGAACCGGGTTCGTCCAATCTCTCCTGGTCAATGATTGTGCCTGGCGACTACTGTTTGTGTGTAGGCGTCTCTGGACGTTAATATTTTTTTGTTGTTGATATGAGCATCGCCAGTCAGAGGCCAACATAAATATCTTGGAAATACTATTCCTGGATTATAGTTAACATTACTTTAAGTTTATTTTTTGTTAAGCGCTTAGAAACTTTGTATTAAGCGCTATATAAATGTAATTTATTATTATTATTATTATTATTCAATCACCATGTATCTGTTTTACTGGTTGTATTGTAATCCGAGACCCTAATAAAATAGTCACACCACAATAACAAAGTACCTCAAATCAGCAAACTGCTATCAATTGTTATCTTTCTAGGACGTCGATAAAAAGCAATGTGACGTCACAGGTGCTCAATCTTCAAACTACTGGGTTCGATGTGACGTCACTGGAGGAGAATATCACTTTCACCATACCTCATTATCCGGATGTTCGTAACTTCGCATCATGTCTTTTTAATTACTGTGTTAATATGAACAAGGAAAATCAGCCTTAGGTGCGGTGCCTTTGTTTCATCTAAAATATGTTCCTTACACAAGTAATATTTTACAAACCAAAAATCATTTTGTCGAAAATAGTTGGAAATAGAACCTTCCTTTATTATTTACTATATTTACTTGTAATTCGCAGGTCTAATATTATTTTAATTCAATATGCTAATATGCTTTGTTTGCTATTTAATGATGAAAAATAAATGTATTACCCATCATTTATGAATATCGAAAAAATGTGTTATTTATGTTGTATAGTATGTACGGTAATTATCTTTCAAACAGGGCGTCAGGTCGATAGACTTCAGTCGTTCTATAATACCCGTTTTTTGACGATTAAACCGTCGTGTTATCTTTTTATTTGCAGACGACCAAGCCCGAGAATGCATCGTTCGTATGTTCATTCTACGACCCTGCCTTGTAAGTAAAGAATATTCAGATAATTATAGCGTGTTGCTTAAAGATAAACTCCAGTTCTGGTAAAAAAAAGAAAATTAATTCTCACAGAATCAAACGAAACTTACACTGAATGTTCAAGATTACAAATAAATGACATGTGCCAAACAATTTTGGAAGAAAATGTATACTGGCTGAGTAATGAGCATGGAAAGACAAGGAAATCCAGGTAGTACTAGTCCCGACACCATGTGTGTTGTCCCATATATAGCTTTCTGTGTAAAGTGCTTGTTACTTTACCAAGACTCGGTCAAATTTATTATGACTTTGGTGACTCCAGAACCTTGCAGTGCACACCAATACTTACATGCTACATGATCAACTGTTTCTGATCCTTTCCACACCTTTTCTTTCACAATGCAATCGCATTACCAGTACTAAAGTTTATCTTTAAGACTTTCATGCGTCTGTTTGAAACCAGAATGGCGTTAACACATACATGTATACTTTAACACAATGTCAACGCTTTGAACAGACAATTATTTAAATCAAGTGGCAAAAAGTGGCGGGAATGTCCATACTGTAGATGAAGATTTTGTAAAACAGAATGTTGATGCAAAGACGATGAAGTATTACCTTACTGCAGTCAAACATATTTTGGGAAGCAGAATGTGGGTTTATACAATACAATATTTACACTTGTAACGCGCTTTTACAAAGTAACCTTTGTTCCAAAGTGCTTTACCTCTGATTCAATAGAAAATATGAAACATATTATGTAACTCTTGATTCTGAAAAATAATAAAATGTTGCTGATAAAGACATTGTGGGTAATGAAAAGAAGAACGAGAAGAAGGAGGACAATAAGAATGAGAAGAAGATGAAGAAGAAGAAGAAGAAGAAGAAGAAGAAGAAGAAGAAAAAGAAGAAGGAAAAGAAGAAGAGGAAAAAACGACGATGACAACGGAGAAGAAGAAGGAGAAGAAGGAGAAGAAGAAGAGGAAGGAGAAGGAGATGAAGAAAAGAAATGGAAGAGCATGACCTAGAAGAAGACCATACCATACCATAACCCCTTTTGTTTCATTTGATCGGGCAGGAAGAGCTTTTCGAACGAGGGATGCATCCGGGTACCAAGCCAGAGCAGTGACCAATCAACAACGTGTTCGTGTAATCACATGACCAGCTTTGCTATTCTCATGGCAGTCACAGATGTATCGGTATGTATAATATGTTATGCAGTCGGTAACTTTGCCAAAAAGTGAATTTCAAAGGTTACCAATTATCCAGAGGTCCTTTTATTACACAAATCGACCTAACCATCCCTGAGTGCAAAAATACCGATGGCCTAGTCAACAGAAGCTTTCAAAATGTACCATTCTAGTCCGCCTCTCACTCTCGGTGAATATTTTGAAGAAAAACAAAATCTAGAAATATTTTAAGTTAACACCGTCGTAAAAATTTCCAAAAATCAAATTTTTATCAATTTCGATAGCCTTGTCCATCAACTTTTGGAACATGCGAACATTACAATAACGATTACGTAATCCGAAAAAGGGTTTTTAAATTACTCTTGAGTTGATTTTCCAACTTCTTTGCAATCGTGTTAAAGCTGGAACATACATAATCATATTTTGATTTTTCGAATTTTGATTAAGAATATCAAAAATACAATTCATGATGAATGTTACATTGATAGTAGCGCTTAAAAAGTGTCATGATCATTGAAATATAATTTTCGTTCTTTATTATTTTGATATTCCAATTTTCAGATTTCCCGTCGCAATGCGTTTGCTTTGGATGTGATCTCCTATATCGGTTGTGGTCTATCAATTATTGCACTCATCTTTTCACTCATTGTCCTCGGCGTTACTAGGTAAGACGCGTTGGTCTTCATACATGTCATTTTGTAATTTTTGTCCAGAACATGTTTTTGATAAATAATTGGAGTAACTTGACAAAGGCTTAGAGCCAAAATTCGTCACGTTTTATTGCTTTCTTGTCAAATTTCCATCAACCGACGAAGGAGTATCCTTTTTCTCCTTTGGATATACAAATATTTGTATATATATGTAACGCAAAATTGAATTGAAATAGAAATCGAGAAAATTAAATTTTTGAAAACTGTGGAAAATCAACCACTAAATCATAACATTTTGTCCCGATCTGATATTTTACTTTGGTTTTAATTTCAGATTGAAGACAATTCGTGTTCGGATCCTGACCAATCAGTGTGTCGCCATGTTACTCGCTCAAAGTTTGTTCATCTCTTTGGTCGAGAATGCTTCAAGCAACAAGGTATGTTTCTCCACAAAACACTGAAGATTTTCCCAATCCAACATCAACGAATGAAGAACATAATGAGAGAAAAATGTATTTCTTCATTTTACATATGAAGTGGAGTAGTAAGGAAAAAAGAGACCAACATAACAGTTCTCTGGCCGTGATACAATTTTTTCTCGTTAATGCATTCTCTTTCAACTTCTTATATATTTCAATATTAGCATTTTGAATTTTGTCGATATCCACATGAACAGAAGAACATCTTCCATTAACTATTTTATTCTTGTATTCGCTTTGTATGGCATTTAGATTTCTCGTAGGCTGTATAAACCGTAGTAGACCATATTTTGTCAATTTGCACCTACTTCGATTCGAGTATTAATTATTTACACATCTTGTTGAACAGGTGGCTTGCAAAGTGGTGGCCGCCCTCCTCCATTTTTTCTTCCTCGCTGTTATCTCCTGGATGTTTGTTCAAGGAGTGTACATATATAGCAAGACCAGCTTGTTACACAAAGGAATCATCCCTCTCAAATACTTCATCATCGTTGGATGGGGTGAGTTCACACTCGTTCTCGGGAATGTCTACGTTTGTTTTGCGTGTGTGGGTTACTGGGATGGTGCGTGTGTGTGTGTGCGCGCGTTCAAGGAGCCATTTGTGTAGGCCTATACAAAAGCCTGTCTAGGGCAATGATGTTTCATAGCCTTCAAGTACCCTATCCCTTTTCAGTGGACGACGTGGGCCCATGTGGCTGTGTGGGTTTGTATGTATGCGCGTGTGCGTGGGCGAGTGCGTGTGTTTTCCTACAATTACACTAAGACATCCATGTTACACAGATTCATCGTCTCGAGTACTTCTTCATCAAAGGATGCGGAGGGGAAAGGGGGGGGGGGGGGGGCTCACATTCGCACTCAGGAATTTCAAGATTTTTGCGGGTGAGTGGGTTACTGAGTGGGTGTGTGTGCGGAGAATGGTATGTGCGTGCGTTCAAGGAGCCATTTGTGTAGGCCTACACAAGCCTGTCTAGGGCAATGATGTTTCATAGCCATGTGGCTGTGTGGGTTTGTATGTGTGCGCGTGTGAGAGCGTGTGTGGGATGGGGTTTCAATTTTCCTACAAGTACACTGAAACATTCATGTTCCACAGATCCATTGTCTCAATTACTTATTCACCAACGGATGTGGGAGGGGGGGGGGGGGAGAGGCTCACATTCGCACTCGGGAATTTCAAGTTTTTTGCGCGCGAATTCAGGATATGATTTGGTATTTTCAAGCCAAGTTTCATCGCTTTTACTTTTCTTTTATATCTTCCCTTGTTGTATGACCGAAGCTCCTGTGACAATACCTGTAACCTTCAGCCAGTCCTTAACTTAAATATATACTACGGAATAAACAAAAGAGCAATAGAAGCAAATATTGGATCACCACCGTTCACTCGTTTATAAAATTTCTCTCTTTAAATCATTTTCCTATTTCCTTTTTCGACCTTTATCATTTTTTCTGGGGTCCTTGAGAGATGTTACTTTAGGCATATTAAAAAAATTCTTTCTTTCATTTTCACTTCTAGGTGTACCATGTGTTATTGTTGGTGCCACTGCTGCAATAAATATTAACTTTTACGGCATGGAAGGCATGTAAGTTGACCACTTTAAAGTAGTTAATAGTAGTGAGATCTCATGCGAAATTTTACATCATTCGGGTTTCCACCTATATCTGGGACCCGTTTCACAAAGCCTCTTTTCAATGACAATTGACAAAGATTTAGTGACCAATCTGCTGATAACCAATCAGAAGCAAGGATTTCAGTAGCTTATAACAAAAACTGTCTTTTGTCACTGATGACAATCACGGTGAGTGGACTTCACATTCATGACCTAGAGGTCTAATGTAATGCACATATGTCTTCCAATCGCCCCACAATGATATCCCATCATCCCAAACTTCCCTGACCCTCGAGATTTGAAGGCAAGCAGGGGTAGTTTTCTGGCGGGGTCACAGTTTGACCGCGGCCAGGAAGACCCGTGCAAACACATTTAATTTAATTGGAAATTCAACAGATTCTGCTCATGGAAATGGGTGACTGTAAAAAATGAAGGAAACAACAGTTTTGTTGTCGTTGAAGTTTAAGCATGACTTTTAAACTCCATAGTTTATAATTCATGTGCAGGGCCTTGGTTGAAAATTAGTTAAACCAAAACGACGGATGAGTTCAAACCTCATTATTTTCTACTTAAGAAAATGTAAAAATGAGAGATACAGAAATGTTTATTCTAATAAATCTATATATCGTACAAACAAAGACGTCTTTTCTTTTGTAACGTGGTTCGCAACGGGGCTCCATTTTTTGGTATTGTACTCTACATATACATGTTTATCTTTCATGAATACCATGATGTAGGAAAGAAAGAGAGAGTGAAATAAGACCCTTATATCATCAGCTTCATGTAGGAAGTATTTTGGAAGTTCAACAATTATATATTCTGGATATTCTGAAAATAAAATGTTTAAATGAGTTGATCTTTAATCTGCTTCATAACTTGTAGCTGTTGGTTGAACAAAAAGAATGGAGGAATTTGGATATTTGTGGTTCCAGCTCTCATCATTGCATTGGTAAATAAAACCATAATTTCATACTATAAAGTCGATTTAGATTTATTTGATTTATTGCAATATTATAGAATTGTTACACTTAATTCTAAAATCTAGTAAGCACGCTTAAAGAAGTAATGTAACTCGAATATTGAAAAGGTAGATCGATGCATGAGGTGGGGGTGGGGTAGGGAAGGGTAAAATAATGGTCCAAATCCCTTTAAGAATAATAAAATAGCTATTTTGTATAGCAAATATATATATTTTTTTCTTGGAAGAATTTCCACACCCCTTGCATTTGGGCGAAAACGTCCAAATCATAACCCTCGTTTAGGGAGTATTTTTTTTTTTTTTTTTTTTTTTTTTTTTTTACTATTGTTTAAATAAAATTGTATGTAGGTCATACTTTTTAGGTCAATGATGATTATATCTCATGACCATTAACGTTCGATTATCTCAAACTATCACGCCATTTTGCGTTTTCGCGAAATTCAAGTTCGTGACACGGTTTACTGATGTTTTTCTTCTACGCAGTGCTTATTATAAAGTCAAGACTCAATGCAGAAAGACACGTTTAGAATCTTTGCATGGTAAATGTTCGATCCTAGCGTTTGCTTTATTATTGAGATATAAAACAGATGTTACCATTAATGATATTGCATTTAACAAAAAAGAATGGAGAATGAAAAGGGAAATCAAATACTGCTATAATTAATGAGGAAACTTAAAGGTTTATTCATTCATTCTTAATTCCTCGTTTAATTAAATGAAAATTACCGTTACTTGCAACTACAAGAAATCCCCGTAATAAATTAAATCATTGAAATAGGTAACCATACGGTTGCACTTGAAATATGATTATTTGTATGTTTTTTTCCAATTCTACAGATGAATTGTGTTGTAATGATATTAACTGTGAAGGTTCTAAGATCAGTGAAGGTGTTCCAGAATAAGACAGATAAAGAAAAGATCAAGTAAGTAAACATGTCTTTTCCTCAATAGTTATTTTCGAACAGTACTTGCAAACCCATTACAATTTAATGTCTGCTTTTACTGACATCAGTTATCTTTTGGTCCAAATGCTCTGAATTCTAAATCATGCATGATTGCTGGAAAATATGAGTCCATTTCTGGCACTATAATATACACTATTCTTTATCCGCTGTTTTCTAAGTATTTTCCGTTTAGCCGTTTCTTTTTAGTTGTGTCAGACTGATAAATCAAATTTATATTTTTAGGTCAACCTTAAAGGCGATGATTGTGATTCTACCCATCCTAGGTGTGACCTGGTTGACAGGTGTATTAGTTAATATATCAGTCATCTTTAGTTATGTCTTTGCCATCTCCAACGCATTCCAAGGCGTGCTCATCTTCATCATGCAGATCTTCATCAACGCCGAGGTAAGATCATTGAATTTCTTCGATTTCTTTATTTTTTTTGATATATATTTTTTTAATTTGTCCCTCTCATTAAAAAAATGCAAATAAAGAAAGAAAGGAAAACATTCTTCATGTCAATTTTAAGGCATTATCATACAAAGAAATTCAGCAAAGTAAATGAGGATGGAACACCGTTTTGATGTCGGAAAAAGGTTTATTACATATGGTCAAAATTGCACTTCCTATTTGTTAATAGATCTAGAGAGAAAAGTTAATATTTCAAAGCCCAATAAACAGAACACTAAAAAGTAACCTCTTTTGGGAGTGTATTTTAAGTGATTTTAAAGTATAGTGCCTTTTGAACTAGATTTAAACGTTATCGACACGTGCCTTCATTTAAACAAAAAAGGTATTCCTGTTCACGTTTTCATCTAACCTAAAAACCACCAGTTTATCACGCGACTGGAGTAACGTGATACCACTTACCTCTGTTTATAAAATTGTTTATGACCAAATAACCACTTGACCAAGCAACGAGTTTTTTGTCTGTTAACCGATGGTGGCGATAAATACGTAATTATTTGGTCTTGTAAGCACCTTTATCGATTGGTTTCACAGGTTATCCAAGGTTGATGGTAATAATCACGTTACTTACACCGGCTAATCGTCTTATTGTTCTGTCCGTGAATCTCTGGTTATATTAAATTAGTAATTCGGAGGTGTCTTACACACCTCTTTAAATGGTTTCAAAGTTACCATAAATTTCTTGGTTATGATCACGTGGCTCAAGCTGATTACTAATCTAAGCTGTGAATCCGTGATATGTAGGTGTGAAAAATTAGTAATTATTGGGTGTCTTAAAACACCTATTTAAATGGTAGTCAAAGTTGCCAGCAGTTCCGCGGTGATAATCTCGTGACTCAATTGGAATATTAATCTAAGCTGGGCATACGTGACTTTTAGGTGTGAAAAATTAGTAATGATTAGGTGTCTTAAAGCACCTATTTAAATGGTGTTCAAAGTTGCCATAAGTTCCGCGGTGATGATCCCGTGAGTCAAACGGATTATTAATCTAAGCTGGGCATACGTGACTTTTAGGTGTGAAAAATTAGTAATTATTAGGTGTCTTAAAACACCTATTTAAATGGTAGTCAAAGTTGCCAGCAGTTCCGCGGTGATGATCTCGTGACTCAAACGGATTATTTATATAAGCTGGGTATTCCGTGTTTTCCAGGTGTGAAAATGAGTTATTCTTGGGTGTCTTGATGGTTTCACAGTTACTATTTCTATGTTCACCAGTTGATAACTGACTGTTGGCATATTTTCATTGCACCAGTTGATAACTGGAGTGTGCATATTTCCAGTTGCACCGGTTGATGACTGAGAGTTGGCATATTTCGAGTTGAACCAGCTGACACCAGTTAATTTGCATATTAAAAATGGGGTGCGTGCAGATCTATGTTTTTTAAACAATTTATCTGAATTTACAGCATATTTCTTAATTACTGATGATTTAGTTATATGCAATTCATTTCGAAAATACTACAAATATAAATTACCAGTTATTAGGACATTTCACTACTTCGTATAAATTACATTTAGTTAAACATGAATAAGGGAAATATTAACTATGAACTAAAATAATTTTAATAAAGTACAAGTATACGTATTTTTTCGATTAATTAAATTATGTAAGTTTACTTATTACCAATGTCTTTACATTGGAAATACAGACGTACCAGTATTGAAGTATTGTTGCTGTTTAACTAGTTGGAAGTTAACCAAATGGTTCCAATGGCTCAGCTAGACCAGTTGAAGTATAACTGGCCTGGATCAACTGGATCATTTAGCCCATTTCAATTTCCAGGATTACCAGTTGGCATTAAATGGTTCATCAACTGGACCAGTTGCAAGTAGCTTTCTCTTCTGGGATGTTTGCACCCACCCCTCCCCCAACCCCCTCTAACCCCAAACTGCTACCAGCGCGCCTTAACGTAATTACGGAAGATCCAAGACACGATGTTCAGAAACGGGATGATTATTATTATTTTGGTTCATTTATTGTGTAACATTTGCTTAATTATTGGGTTGAACGCGGGTTACAGTAACATACTTCCTCTTCGACGTAAATTTCAGGTGAATGAAGAACATGATTCATCTCAAGTCAGCCTCGTAATATTCACGTGAATTTCACGCAGATATTTTGACTAAAACTATCACTAACGCTTCACGTGTTTCTGTGACGCGATAATTTCGTTTATGAAGATGTAATTTCATAATCAAACAAACACGGGAGTATTAGGTTTACAAACCATGGTCTCCAAGGTAGGGATAATCACGTTATTATAATGGTGATATTGCAGTGACAATTGCGTGATTTAGTGTACGTGTGTTTTAAGTTACCTAGTGCAATAAACGTATTAACACATTTACGTAAATGTCAGGTGTTTGAAGAACGTAACTCTCCTCAAGTCGATACCTTGATATTGACGTGATTTTCACGTGGTTTTGTTTATTGGGAGGAAAGGAAAGAAGAAGGAAGAAAAGAAAAGAAGAAGGAAGAAAAGAAAGGAAGGAAAGAAAGTAGAAGCGTGGGGGTAAGGAATCCGTGTAAATATGGCCCGAAGGAAACACACACCCTACCACCGTCCCCTGAAACACCCAACATATCATGATAACCCTCACTCCTACCGTCACCCACAATCCACTCACACCTTTGCACAACACGAAACACCCTCATTCCCACAACGTCATTCAATTTTCTAAAGGGTTTATTTCAGGAGAAACGATGTCAATTGTCGTACCAGGGCAATTAGTTCCTGGACAATCGACCCCTGGAAAATTACTCCCTGGAAAACTACCCCCAAAAGACAATACCCCCTCCCCCCCCCCCGGGACAAAAAGGACAACCACCCCCGAGGAGAATTACATCCCCGAAAATTTACCCTCTATTCATTAAAGGGGTAGTCCACCCTGATAATAAGTCTATTTTAACATTTTTTTCGGGGGTAATTGACCTGGGGGGGGGGGGGGGGGAGGGTGATTGTCCAAGATGACATTATCAGGGGGGGGGGGAGTTTTTCCTGAGCTGATTCTTCGTCTTCGTCTTCTTCTTTAAAAAAAAAAAAAATTATCATCATCATCATTTCCTTGCTTACTTTCATACAGATCCGGTCTGCACTGCGCCTGCGCAAGAGTCGTATCTTGCCGTTCAATACCTCATTGGTCGGGGATAATTCGGCTAGGGTAAATAAACGTTCATTTTCTTGTCGTCTCACTATTATATGTTATTTCTATTACATTAATGTTATCTACCTACTTTATATGATTCCATTTGTATTCTAACTTGCAACCAGTATTGTAACTTGTTTTGATGATTTATCTTTTTATATTCATTTGTAAATTTATACCAGTGAAAGACAAAGTTTCCTTAGGATATTATTGATCTATTTCTGTGACCTTTTCGATTGATAAGTAAAGTTCGAAGAAGATATCTATCAAGAATAAATCATATTGTCCCAACATTCATGAAGAGAAGAAGTGTCCCAACATTCATGAATAGAAGAAGTAAAAAAAAATAAAAATCCCGTTACCTCTTTGAATATGTATCAACATTGTTAATTAATTTGACAGTTATGAACAAAAAAACAATCAAACATATTTGATCTCAATTCATGTTAATGTGTTAAATTATTGTTGGACAAAGTCTAATCTTTCTTTATTATTTTCTGGGTAATTATTTCCCTCTTATGCTCTATTACCCCCTTTTTAAAATAAAGTGGTTGGATTCTCATTATTTATTTTGGTAATCTGCGTTTGGTAATGTACATTCTAAACCCACCTACATGCTCAACGATTTCTTTATTACATTGCTCGACAGTACTCATTTGACACTGTCATCTAATAAATATATAAATCTTGGAAAATGTCAAAATTCTCACTATTCATTTTCAAAGTGTTAACATTGTCATTAGTTTATATGATTTTATAACTGTTTACGTATCAATTATGTTTCAGTCTTTTATGTCTCCATCTTTAAATAAAACGTATTATGGTCTGTATTTGTTCAAATTAACAACAAGTTTCAACTTGAGGGCTGCATATTTCTTTGAATAACCAATTCAATTCAATCTTTCACAAAAATAATACATGTACCTACTTACAGCTCGGCACAAGCCAGGGTAATGGTAGTACTTTGCAGTCCCCTTAAGCATCCCCTTGGATGGATACATGCGCAATGTAGCTTTAACTTTTATTATTTTTATTGTTATTTTGTATTATGATTACATGTATACACCCAATGATCTGCTTCTCTTGTGTTTTTTTTTAGAGCAACCACTCCAGTAGGGGCAAAGATGTTACGAAATCAACAATCAACACGACGCAAACTGGTATGTTCTCATCCATATAAATCATTATAACATAATAATAATAATAATAATAATAATAATAATAATAATAATAACAATAATGATAATGATAATAATAATTCTACTATTACTACTACTAGTACTACTACTATTACTACTAATATTAATAATGATAATACCTAGCTATGCAACTAGACTAAAAATAGCTTTTGGTCCACTATCTAACGGCGACTTCCTTAAAGTTATTAAATGCAAATGCTGTCAAAAAGTTTGGTTGGTGATTTGTTGATACTAGAAGACATACATGTAAATCAACCTTTTATTTGCCCTGGGCGCCCAATGGCACAGTCACATCTTTGGCAAGAATGTCGAGTAGCACAAATAAATTATGGGAATCAATACATCAATACCAATGCTCTTTAAAATAATACGATCTGAGTTTGTATTTGATATTCAATTGTATCTGTTTCACGATTCCAGCCTATTTGCTGAACTTTTTTCTTATCGTGTTTTGAATAATGATTGAATCAATGAATCATTTGTATGCATTCGTTCCACCACATTCGTATTATTATGTATCAATTGAGGGTAGTCATGCTATCAAGCTTTGCTTACTTTGTCAAAATTCTGTTTGATGTTTTCGATTAGTTACTTTATTCGACATCATATTCTTTTGAAATGTGTAAAATTTGCAATGTTTTGTTTGTTATATATTTGTAAAAATGGAAAAGAAAAAGAAAATCAAACAGAAATAAATAAATCAAATCAAACCAAATCATGATATCCAATCCATCAGTCAACGTTAACAAACTTGGACGGGAGGGGAGGGGAGGGAGGGGGGGGGGGGTGATGATCACTTTCTTTTCTATAAATCATAGCGGTATCTATGTATTTTGATTATTCTCGTCATAACTCACCGTATCTTGTCCACATAGGTGTAGGCTTGCATTCCATAAGTGGCAGTGGTCCAAGTATGGTTGGTGAACCATTACCAGCTGCGTACGTATACATCTCATGTCAATTTATTTCATTTCATTTCATTTCATTATATTTCATACTTTTTTCATTTTATATCGTTCCATTCCGTTCCATTCCATTTAATTTAATTTAATTTGTCATCTAATTTTATTTCCTAAAATTCTGTTTCATGTTATAATATTTCATTTCATTCCAATCCATTTTATTCCATTACGTTTCATTGATTTCCTTTTCATTTCAACCAATTTCGATTTATTTAATTCTACATCTATCCCATAATTTTGATCTAACATTAAGAATTTTCAAAGATAACAATCGTTTTTACAAATATGCATTCTCAATGAAGTGAAATGAAATGAATTTGTTTTCCCATGCATTTTCAATGAAGTGCTTATAATTTTTTTTGTTCTCCACGCATTATCAATTGATGTGAAATGAAATGAGAGATTTTTCTTTGGGGATAGTGAGGACTTATACCGGTATTTACATTTTAAAACGATCACGCTCAAGTATCCTTTGTTCATCGTTTATTTTGAAATAATTGCGTGATTTCTCTCTGCCTTTTTCTTTCATACAGGCAATGAGGTGGATCCATTTAATATAGTTTCTGCTCATCGTGACGGATATGCTGAAATTCGCAATAATTTCATCCATTTCTTAGTATTTTGGATGTTTTTTAAACACGTTTATTTGTAAGGATGGTATACGCATTATTACGTATATACCTGTAAGAATGGTCGTTTCCTTATTTTGATATTATGATGGAGCACACATGAAACAAGTGCATAATGTTGTTATATTGTTATTTTAATTATAATTTATTTATTTAACATACTCGAATGGATACAGAAAATGAATGATAAAACAAAATAAGCATATTACATCTGGAAACAATATTATAAACATCGAAATAGTTCTTATAGCTTTTACAGTTTAAACATTATTGAAGGTAGGTCTTTTTCTTTGTCAGGTGTAAAAATGAGGTTTGTATTGAAAAGCACGGTTCGTAAAGGTAAGCCCGTCTTAATCTTATTTGTATTCAAGTACTTGAATAAAAGCTTTCGATTCAATTGCGATTATAAATATACCTTGATGATAAAATCGTAATGTTGTCTTATTAGACAGTGCAAAAAGTTTATAACGAGAACGTAAGATTTTGCTTACGTCAACCGCCTTGTGTATTCGCAGTTTAATTGCTACTAATCAAAGGTATCGGAAGATTAGAAATACTATTGTATATTACATATATCATATTATATTATATTATATTTAAGCACAGTATATTGATTATTATCCAATTCGTGGATTGCTGTAAATAGTGCAATTTTGTATATTTAACATGATCGCAACTATTTTCGAAAAAGCAATCGAAGGACAATTTCAATACCTCGTGTAAGCCCGGTAGAAATCCTGTTCAGATTACATAATATGTCATGGTGATTCATTCAATAATTCTTACATTCCAAAAGATGACGTACAAGGCCATTGATTTTGCCTAAGGTTGATTTAAAAAAAAAGGAGTTGTGTTCATGCTGTTACATTCATTATAGTCTCATGTGCACTAGAAATCTAATGTTCACCTTAAGTTTTATCTTGGCTGTATATACATTTTTTCTTTTTCTTAAGTACTTTTTATATACTTTTTATACTTTTATAATGTATATTGTTTCTCATCATCCTATATAGGTGTTATGATAATGTATATACAAAACACATTGCGTCCCATCCTGGAAGCATAATATGTATTCTCACAGCTATACGTGTACATAAAATAACCACTGAAAATGTATTTATATACACATTCGAAAAGCACATACAATGTTGCCTGTAAAGTTGGAATAGTTTTTTCTTATACCTGTTGTCATGAAATGATTACGAAAATATGATTTATCCTTCAAACATAATTTTTACATCTTCTCCGAACTTTATTGATCAATCTCTGTGACCCTGTCTATCTCGGAGGTTGATCGTAACATTTTGCCACACATCTCTGTTTTCTGCCACTCTGGTACACTCTAGCAGTGTCAAACCACTGACTCCGTGTCATTATATACCCATTCTAGTTACTTCATCTCATTAATGAAGTTATGAGAAGATTTATAACTTTATATTTTAATAATAAATGATATTCTTACAATCACTTCATGATAAGAGGTAAAAAAATATTCCAACTTTATGCGCAACAGTCTGTATTCGACAATTTTAGTCATCAAGTTTCTTTGCATTGTTTTTAAAGCAATTATAATCATATAAACAAATTTTAAACTCCTTTTTTAATTATACCAATACTTGTACATATTGTATATTTATGTTGATAGCATATTTTATTCTCAAATCACAGACATTAGGCCCGAATTCACAAAGGAGGTTTGTAGACAAACCTAGGTTTAGGTGCGTCATATGACGCGTCTTGACGCGTTTCAGACCAAGGTTTGTCTGAACCTTGGTCTGAAATGCATCGAGACGCGTCATATGACGCACATAAACTTTGTCGAATTCGGGCCTATGAGAATGTATGTGATGCGATGACGAATCATTGAGAGTTGGAACTAGTCAAGAAATAAAGTCAAAAGGCAGTGGTTCTGGTCGTAGTGGCTCGCTAAACAAGATGAAGAAGAAGAAGAAGAAAATGAACAAGAAAAGAAGAAAAGAAGAAAAAGAGGTAGTATAAGAATAAGAAGAACAGTTAGAAAAAGAAGAAAAAGAAAAGTAGAAAAAGTAGAAAAAGAGGAATAAAGTCCAGCGTAGTGGACAGCAGTCGAAATATAATAAAAAGAGTTTTAATGAAAAAGAATGAATGTGACATTTTATTTATAACATCTGGAAGAGAAATATCACCGAATTCAATTACCCCTTTTTCGTACTTTGATAAAGAAGTTTTTTCATAGTTTAAAGGTACTATGTCCCATTTGCAGGCCAAAAAAATGAAAAAGGTAATTCCAACTGCATTTGAAAGATAATACTAATTTAGAATTTCCCTAAAAAAGGTGGGGCTTAAAAATGTCTTCAAGTGGGAAAATAACGACTATTAGTTGTCAAATCGACTTTAGGGCTATAGAGCCCAAAAGTAATAGTCTTGATTTTCAGACAATTGTACCGAATGGTCATATGTTTTATGCTGCGCAAAGATTCAATCAGTTTAATCTTGGCCATCACAAGAAGTGGGTTATTGATGTAGACAAATGCTCATGTACCCTTTACAACTCTTTTCATGTATGTTATTACCAAAGAAGAAAAAAGGCCAGTCAGTCACTCAATAGTGTCTGACAGTGAAGTCTAGCAAGTAAACGAGTTTCCTTGCATAATTTGAATATGAGGACACTGCTAACGTTTAAATTTCACAGAAAGGACATACATGACATATTCATAATTCCTGCAAAGTTTTACAGAATTTGAGGTTGGCTGCAAAAGGGACATTGCACCTTTAACAAGAGACAGTGGTATGTATCTTAACCAGAGCTGACCACCTGTTTACAATATACCATACAATACCAACATAGGAGTTGCTATGTCAGATCTGCTGTATCGTCATCAGGAAAAGAAAGTTGATGTGGAGGTAGTGTATGAAAGAATGCTATTCTTTTGTGAGCATATGCTGAGCTGGGGGAAGTTATATACCACTGTCTCTTGCTAGCTCACTAATGATTGACAGATGTTGTCACAGGTTGAATGAGATCGGGAGCATTTTTGTAGGATAGAGCTTAGCAGGTCTAAGATTTTTTTTTTTTAATATTAAAAAATCTATTAAATATGTTAAGATATTTGAATAAGAAAATATGAGTTGTATGCAGCCCTACATATCAACAGGAATCAACTTATATTTGGATGTCAACCGACCTTTAAGCAACAAAATGACAGAATTTTGACCAGTATCAATGGTATTATTGTATATACCTGATATTCAAGCTAAAATATGATGAATTAATTTTGTTCATAATGTGCATCACATTAAATACCTAAGTGCCTATCTGTGAAAAACGAATTGTCCAATTGTTTTCATGTCTTACTTAAAAAAAGAAGGTTTATTGGGGTGGTATTATCATGATCATTAAGGGGGTTCTAGCATCAAGGGGAAGGAGGATAAGGGGAGGGGGAATTATTAAGAATGATATGGTTGGAATGTGGATAGTCAAGCCCCTTAGTTAGGAATAGGGGTGTCCTATCCTTTTCCTTTCTACCATTTCCCGTCCCTCTTTCTCTCTTCATGTTTTATCTCTTTTACTCCGTTTTGTTTGTTTGTGTGTGTGTGTGTGTGTGTGTGTGTGTGGGAGGGGGGTGGGTGGGACGGGGGAGGGCACGTGGCCTTTTGTCTTTGTACCCTACCCCATAATAAGCCCCATAATTTACTACGAGCGAGCCATTATCATGGCGGCACACTTCACTCAAATATTATACATCCGGGGGGAAAGAGCACCCAAACGTAATTACAAATAAAGTAGACGTTGCAGAATCCAGACCAAAAGTGCCCTTGATAATATGGAGAAGAGCATAATTCATTGCCCTTCACATCAAATAATTACAACAAATTTACAGATAATCCATGAACATTGTTTGTTTCTCATTTGTGTAATAGAGTGACAATTTAGCACCTAACGATATCAAATTTGACTACTAGTAAATGGTAAAGAGTTTCATGAAAGCCAAATAGAATCACTTGTTTTGGCGGAGGGGTTGGTTAGTTGGTGTCGATTAAGTGTAATTATCAACAATTTAAAGTTGTAAGGTTGAACAGTATTTTATTTAGGATGTGACCATTAAGTATCGAAATTCAAGCTTACTATTGAAATTCTCGAGGGGAAAAAAAAAAAAAAAAGAGAATTACTATAATCATGGCCGGGGAGGGGCGGTAGTGAAATTTTGTGAAAATAAGGAGGAGAGGGGCAGTGTACCGAAAAGTCTCTTATTAGAAAATGAGGGGTTTCATGTCTGTATCATGTGCTAATTTACAGAAAGATACATCCACCAACCAAAATGTTACGAAGTGTATGGATGATACCAAAGGTGATACAGGAGTGTATCTTTCATACTTAATCTACTTTTCCTAAAGTGTACCAATCACGTGATTTTTTAAAATTATTTTTGTATTTATATATATATATATATATATCAACCTAAGAAACCTTTACTCTGCAATCGATTGATATGCTAAGGGTTTAGAGGTATAAAGAAAAAAAAGAATAATTAAAACCCCGCGCAAGAAACTCAAGTCTGATTTAAGTTTCTCGTGCGCCTTATATCATGAGCACGTAGGGGTGCCTAGAGGCTAGACCAGTCTACTAAAAAAAAAAAAAAAAAAAAAAAAAAAAAAAAAAAAATCACTTTCAAATATACTGAGAGTGTATTGAACTACAATTAAAACTTCAATGTAGAAGTAACATTTGAAACTCATATTTTGAATACAGTGTATAGTGTATAGCAAAATGGAGCTCTATATAAAATCAAGAGCAAAAACAAGTTTGGGTGATTGGTACATTTGAATCATCCTTGTCCTTTAATACCAACAATATATTTCAGGTATGACGAGAGAAAGATTTTGTATCACTGAACCACTTTGTAGGCTGAAAGCGATAATTATCTGAGATTTTCAGGAACAAAGCAGGGTTCAAAAGGTACATGTACTTTCTCTCTTATCTCTTTTAGGCTTCGTTGGGCGGAATCTTCGTCCTCGGGGAAATAAACGCCTAACAAATAATTTAAAAGCGGAAGTATTAACATCATAAAAAAAACAAGTCAACGTACTTTTGGAAATCGTGATCATTTCATTCAAATTCGCAGGAATTCGCAGGAAGTATTTGTACACACAAAAATTCATTCCACAACGAGAGTTCCTTAGATGGGAGTCCATTAACTTTATTGAGAATATTAATCGTTATTGAATAGACACTATTTTGGATGAACAAAGCGCGTGTTCTATGTTCATCATTCCATTTTGTAATCACTCTCTTCGAGCTAGACCGCATCATTTCCAATATAAAGCTGTGATAGTAATGGCTTTTCCGGGAGGTGGATTTGTCAATAAGCGAAAGTGCTTGTAAAGATGAATGAAAGTTAATGCTTGATTAGATGACTGGCAGTTGGCATCCGGTATAATTATAATGACGGATGAAGAGTCGAGATTCTATAAGGGGGGGGGGGAGCTGGGAAGGGGAATGGGGCTCTACCCCCATTTTATAAATTCAAGCTCTACCTCCATAACAAAAATCCTCTAGTAGTACCGCGCCTGGGGTTGAATTGTTTGATTTCCCTCCCCAAAAGCCTTGTTATATGTTAACACAGAATTAATGCCCTTCTGGCTGTAAACAGACCATATCCTTGAGATATCCCTAAAAAATTCTTGAGATATCCTCAATCCTCAAGACAGCACCTTTTCTCGAGTGGACTGGTACCAATTCTCATGTTTATCTTCCCCCTTCCATGCATTGCTCATACAGGCCAAAGAGGACGAGATAGGGAACCTGAAGGGTGACACCACTCGCCTCACCAAGATGCGGGAGACCATTCAGCGTAAGCTGCGCAATGTGGAGGAGCAGAAGGGAGAAACAGAGCAAGCGAAAGAAACCCTCAAGTCACAGATTGTTGCACTGGAGAGAGGTGGGTCGATCAAATATATGAGAACATGTCTCATTGGATGTGTAAAAAACCAAAACCTATGGAATGTGGGATGCCGATTATTTTGTTTGTATCGCCTGAGTGACTGAGCAAGACATAGTCATCACTATTTTGGGCATCATCGTCGTCGTAGGAGTAGTTGTAGTTGTTGTCCTCATCAACAATCCTGCTGTACTGGCAATAACTTTCTATAGCTTTAATTGAGCTGGGATCCCAGAATTCATACCAATAGTAAAGTGTGAGATAGCATTAACACCATTCTTATGCAGTGTTGTCTAAATTTCCAGTGATAAAGTCTATCCAACATTTAAAGACACTCAGTAGTTAGCTCTCATGGGGAATTCAACACTGTTCAGGTGTTTACCCAATAAGAAGTGCTGTCACAATCACCAGAATTAGCCTTCAGTTTTATGACCAGCAGGCCTTATGTAACGTTCTGCATTTTCCACACTTTGCCCAACATGGTAAAGTGATTATCTCACTTTTCCCTCAGCCGGAGATCTCCGAGAGTCGAGGGGGTATTTCTCGATTGGCCTCCGGTTGTCTGTGTGCAGACCTAATACCTGTACACACGTTAATGATTTTTATCCACCAAGTCTGGTGTCAGCGAATTATGGCCTTCTGCACATGGAAACTGACGAGTGACTCCCTTTAATACCATTATTGCTTAGTGGTAACTTTCATAACCAAAATTTGCATCCTAAAAATTACTCTTCCTATTGCTTTTGTTTCATTTCCACGTTAAATGTTTGAACTGAGAGATGACTATTTATCATACTATCCTATTTAATTTCCTCCTACAGAGATTGATTCTAATAAGAAACAAACCGAGATGGATCGTAAGGCTATTGATGACTTGGTCCGTGAGAGGGACATCCTCAACAAGAACTTGCTCAAGGTAGGTCCGAACAGCATGGGTCTAGGAGAAACTCAGTTATCAGAGCAAAATGTTTAATTGGTTGTTGGTGATTTTTATTATGGATATCATATGTAGGGCCCACAACTTACAGGGGGCAGATAACCCTCGATCATGAAGAAAGGCCCCACTTTTTAATGATCATTCAGGGCTCATATTCATAAAAACCTTCCTAATCTGTTTAATCTGTATTTTCGTAAGGGGTTTTATTTTTGATAATTGTTACAGGGTTGAAAATCTAATGACACAAAATTGATTTGGCAGTGCATGTGCAAATATCACTTGTAAGTGGCCAGTGTACCACAAACAACAATTCACAAACCCCTGTGAAATCCCTGTAGGTAAAAATATTGGCTTACGTTCTTACTTCTGTATGTTGGTGCCAGCCTCCTCCCCACAGTGATGGCATAAACCTAATATTTCTTGTGCCAACCTCTTCCCCACACAGGCTGCCAGCGCCACCCAGAAGCAGCTGAACCTGGTCAAGCTGCATGAGCAATCCAAGAAGAACCTGGAGCAGGAGATTGCCAACTACAAGGAGGAAGCCCAGAAGCAGCGTAAAATCATCTACCAGCTGGAGAAGGAGCGTGATCGCTACATCAACGAGGCCAGCGATCTCACCCAGAAGGTAAATTGGCAATGTCATTGAGTGATTTTGATACTCTGTTGGAGATTGTAAAGTCATGTGTTTGAGCCCCGGTACAAACACTTGTTGTCGAACTGAAAACTCATTGTGCATGAACAATCAAAGTTTAGTCCTTGTTTTAGTTGAATTCATGACACCAGAGATATTCATTTACATGTATCTGATTTTTGTGTACATACATTGATTGATTGATTTGTTAAAGGTCTTTTGTAAGCCATGTTGTCATTTTCTTCACTAAGATTATCACAAAATGTCATGCTTGAAATGGTTTTGACCTTTCATCCCGGGATGCTTTTCATTTTTATTATGGATTTTGGAAGTTTCGTACTATCCATTCTTTGAAAAAGCTGCATTTAACAAAAATCTAAAACACATATAGGGGGGGGGGGGGGGACCCTGTAATCATAAAAACCTCATCTGATCTGTTTGTTTGGTACAGTACATAGTTTGATTTTCAAGATCCATATATTATGCCATGTTAGTATTATTTTCCTCCAGATGTTTCTATCAGGTTCTTAGAATTCATATACAGTACCCCAAAATTGCTGAGTTTGACCACAAAAATTGGGAAAAAATTCATTAAGACCATCTCTAATCTCTTTATTCAGGTTCTGCAACACATGGAGGATGTGAAGGTGAGAGAGATGCAGATCTTTGACTACAAGAAGAAGATTGCCGAGGCCGAGACCAAGCTGAAGCAGCAGCAGAACCTCTACGAAGCCGTCAGGAGCGACCGTAACCTCCACAGCAAGAACCTCATCGAGTCACAGGTAAGGTAGATCAAGCATTAAGGCAGTGCTATAAATTAGAGAGTAGTAAGTTCATCCATTTAAGTAACGTGGCATTTGATGATCAGAGAGTAGAATATTGTTTTAGTGGGATAAAAGCTATACAGTTTTCTGGAGATTTGGGATTCATGAAGAAGAGGATAAGGAAAAGATGAATTATGGGAAGAGAAGAAGAAAGGAGAAGAAAGGGAAGAAGAAAGAAAAGGAAAATGATTGAGGGATGTCATGGACTCATGGCGAGGAATGACATGCTGAAGGATACTTGAATAGAAAGGTGAGTAATGAATGGAAAAACAAAGTTGGATTTTGGGGTGAGGGATGGAGTAGAAGTAAAAGAAGAGAAATGAGAAGGATGAGATAGATAAAAGATGAAACAAATGTTGTTAAAGGAGAAGATAATGAAAGGTTGAGGGATAGATAAAGATAAGCCAAGCTAAGCTAAGGTGTCCCTAAGGACGTCGGCTCCACAAACATATTTAAACTATTTTTTCTATCTTGAGCAATTCTATATGCCTTCTGGAAGGTGCTGCCTACTGAAAGATAGGGAGTAAATAAATGTAGAAGACCTATAATGACCCTTTAAGGAGTCTTCTCAAATCCATACCAACGGATGAAATCAGGCATTAATAGTTCATTTCATTTTGCCTCTCTCTCTCTACCCAGGATGAGATCACCGAGATGAAGAGGAAGCTGAAGATCATGAACCACCAGATCGACCAACTGAAAGAGGAGCTCACAGCCAAGGAGGCTGCCCTTGTCAAGGAACATCTTGATCACCAGAGGTACGAAACAAATTAAAACATTTATGACAGCTGTTTGCGACGATATAGATGTGAAATCATAGTTGTAGTGCCCGCCGGTATACAAAGACCACCTTGTGTTTCCTTTGAAATTTTCCTCATGTAAATTACCATCAAAGGGGACTTGTATAAAATAGAGTATCTGACTGAAACACCGTTAAATTACAGGTTTCCCCTGTATCTGGACTTTTAAGAATTTTTGTTTATACAGTAAACTTTAAACTCTTGACGAGATGACATGTCAAATACTAGCCTTTAGAATAGAAGTTACCATGTACTAGTTGCTGTACAATAAGATTCAGATTAGTCTTCAACTTATGAATGTACCTTGAGTTGAGCAATTGGTCTATTTAGCTATAGGCATGTGAAAGCTCATAAACTGGAGTTGTACTCTTGCCCCACCTTAAAACACAACTTCGCTCACGAGTCTTAAACTACGATTGATATAATGTCAAACTAGAGATAGAAAGAAAGAAAGAAAGATTACAGACATTCCTTTTCAGGACTCCCCAATCCTCCCCCCTCTCTCACATGGTGCAACCGTAAGCCTACTGTATATCTCCATCACCATGCAAGCCGATACTTATAAGCAGTATCTAAGAGATATTACGGTTTTCTGACAGAGACTCGCTCTAATTTTAATTAATTGATTGTCTTTTCCAGGGTTGAGAAAGAGAAAGAAGCCCTGAAGGCAGAGCTACAGCGTATGAAGCAGCAGGCTTCAGAGAGCAAGGCTTACATCGAGGCTCAGGAGGCAGAGGAGAGGAAGCTCCTCAAGATCATCTCCGAGGCTGATGCTGAGAGGCTCAGGCAGAAGAAAGAATTGGACCAGGTAATTATGCAGAGCAAGCAAATTACATCACTACCTGTGTTAGCGGCCACCTATCCACAAAGGCCACCTGTCGCATATGTTTTACTTGTTGGTTTGGTTTGGTTTATTTTAAAACATATCAAACAAGCAGCTCGCAGGATGAAAATTTTTAATTTACAAAGTTAGAATATAGAGAGATAAAAAAACATATAAAAAACTAAAACACATATTGTAATCCAAGTTTTGCACAAATTATAGAGCATTGGTAAGATCAAATCGAATTGTAACTTGAAATATATTAATGTATCATAACATCAACATTTCTGATGAAGTAAAGTTCTTACTAGAGAGCTACCCTTGTCTAGGTATGATTGTGTGAAGAAAGGTTCAATATACTTATTTATTTTCTTTGGGTTGTCTTGATGGAAAATTCTCAATGTTCATCTAATAGTTAGGGAATAAGTGAATCAAGACACTAGTCACCGCACTTCTAACTGGTTATAAAAGAAAAGGGTTGATCCAGAAAATTAACAGCAATATGCATGATAGATGTCGATAATTGCTTGGTATCAGGGGCATCAAAATCATTTATGAATATTTCTGAAAGTCTATGTTGTTCTGGATTGAGTTGCAACATTCCCGTATTGGCGAAATGAATTAAATCATGTCGAAATGCACCTTGTACATTGAAATCACCCTTGTAACCCTATAGCTAGAGTAGAGTCATGAAACTTAAATGTGTTTGACAGACCTAGTCTAACATTAGATCTAGTCTTAGTCAATGCATCAAACTGACATTCATATGTTTTTTCTCAGGAAAGAACCATCTCCTTCATGCTATTCTGTCTATACCAACATGGTTGCAATGCACCGCTTCCAATGCACTGCTTCCAATGCACTGCTTCCAATGCACTGATTCCAAATACTGTCTTGATGGCGTAATAATGATTATTACTTCTTGTTAGCAATTTGTTTGTAAAAAGAATATCAAGGAGTACATCATCTAAATAGGAAGATCCTTATTTATTCAACTGATTGTCTCATCATTGAGCTCTCGAAGTCCAGAAGCACTGTGAGGGTATTTGTAGATAGGACAAGCATTGATGATGTGATCCATAGTTAGGATCTTTCGACAGGCACAGTTTGGCGATGGATCAGCTCCAATTTTATGCAGGAAATATTTTTAGCAAAGGAGGGGAAAAACACTCTGTGATCTTTAGGCTATTCCTTACTGTATAACTGCAAGATCACAATGTGATCCAGTCTTAATTGTGACCTTCCAACGATATCCTCCAACCGCTTTCCCCCATCAGGTCATCAGCGAGCGTGACATCCTGGGCACCCAGCTGGTGCGACGCAACGACGAGCTGGCCCTGCTCTACGAGAAGATCAAGATCCAGCACTCCACCCTGGGTAAGGGAGAGCTCCAGTACCGCCAGCGTCTGGAGGACATCAGGCTCCTCAAGCTCGAGATCAAGAAGCTCCGCAGGGAGAAGAACATCCTCAACAAGAATGTGGCCAATGTCGACGACCTCAGGTACGATGTCCGCAGAGGATGACAAACTTTTAATGATTCCCCTTTTATTCTTATTTTATATTAATTCATTTAAAGGTACTATGTCCCATTTGCAGGTGAAACAAATAATAAGGTTAAATTCCTACGGCATTTGAAAGATAATACTAATTTAGAACTTCCCTAAAAAGGTGGGGCTTGAAAATGTATTCAAGTGGGAAAATAACGACTATTAGTTGTCAAATCGACTTAGGAGCTATAGAGCCAATAAGTAATAGTCTTGATTTTTAGACCATTGTATCGAATGGCATAAGCTTTATGCTGGGCAAAGATTCAATCAGTTTAATTTAGGCCATCACAAGGGTTATTGATGTAGACAAATGCTCATGTACTCTTTACAGCTCAATCTATGTATGTTATTACCAAAGAAGAAAAAAGCCAGTCCGTCACTCAATAGTGTCTGACAGTGTAGTCTAGCAAGTAAACAGGTTTCCTTGCATAATTTGAATATTAGGACACTGCTAACGTTTAAATTTCACAGATAGGACATACATGACATATTCATAATTCCTGCAAAGTTCTACAGAATTTGAGGTTGGCTGCAAAAGGGACATAGTACCTTTAATGTACCTTGTATTTTACCTTGACATTCTTTGTGTATATTTAAATGTTTTGCATGTTTTTTAAACTTAAAAACAAAGAAAGAATGAACTTGAATCAGCAGAGTGCTCACCAGGGTACACATGCGCCTGTACTTATTAATTCCTTCATCTCACAAAGGAGATTTGATAGAAGACGGTATACACTTGGTCACTTATAAGGTACTGTCCAGAGGCTGGGGTTAGCGGCTATATATGCTTCTCCATCTTCTTCAATTGCTAGTTCTTGTACTGACCCTTCCATAGCACAAGATTGAAAAACAGTGAAACAATTATGTTGGTATGGCAGATTAAACTTCCAGGGGAAGTGTGGGTCGATATCTTTTATGGTTGCCTAATCCATTCATTTTGACATGAAATGCTCTGTAGGGTCTGATCAGAAAGTCAGAGTTCTTCTTTAAATCTAGTGATGCTGGGAGCAAATGCTGCATCATTCTCAAAAGGATGTTACAGAGGCTATGCCAAATACATACATGTTACAGATAAACCACTCTCTGATTTATGATATCAGGGGGTTGTTTCAAAAAGCTGTTCGAAAAGTTACGCATGACTTTATGAACAACTTGTATAAGAAGTGCCAGCTAGGATGCCCAAAGTTATATATTTCCAAGAACGTCAATTAAATTATGGCAAAAAATATACTTTGCATTAAAAATGTTTGTTATTATAAGAATGTTAATCTACATCTGTACAGTTCAAATTTAATTGATGCAGTGAATAATGATTGAGCATCCCATTTGGCTTTTCATATACAGTCGTTTGTAAAGTCATGCGTAACTTTACGAATAGCTTTATGAAACACTCCCAAAAGAAGGTTATATTAGGGAATGGAAGATCGAGGTGGCAATAGAGACTAATAATTTTGAAAAAATTTTTGTGTGGTGGTTTCTCCATGCAGGCGTGAAGTGTACCACCTGCAGCGTGAGCTTCTGCGTGAGCGCACCCGCTGCAAGGCCCTGGAGGAGGAGCTGGAGAACCCCATGAACATCCACCGCTGGAGGAAGCTGGAAGGATCCGACCCCAGCACTTACGAAATGATCCAGAAGATACAGACCCTGCAGAAGAGGCTCATCCAAAAGACGGAGGAGGTGGTGGAGAAAGAGCTCCTCATTCAGGTAAAGCCTCGGTCACAAATGCCATTATGAACTGCTACGAAACGCCGCACGAACGATTTTCAGACAATGGAAATTTGGGAAGACAATGGAAAAACGGAGATTCGTACAAAATTATCGTTCGTACAAACATTTGTGACCGTAGCATTAGCAACAGACGCTCTTTCTCAAGGGATCTACAAACAGAAAATAAGCGCCACCATTGCATTCGAGGCAGGGATGGGGGGGGGGGGGGGACTAGGAAAGAACTATCTTTACTATTACTATAAAATACATGGTTTCAGATTAAAGAGTGATGTGGGGGGGGGGATGCCTTTTCCTGGAAAATATTCATATCGCTACCCCCCCCCCCCCTCAACATTCTTGAATACGATATTCCCGTGGCCTGTTTAGAAAATTGCCACCCCCTGCTTCATGCTAAATCCCCACTGAAGTACAGGCTGTTTTTTTAGAATAATTCTAGTGATATCAAACAGGAATTCAGCCCACAAAAAAATTATGTAATACATGTATTATGGAAACACTGTTTTGAATAGGTTATAGTTCATTTTATTATATGGCTCTGGCATGTACTTGAAATTCATAAGGATTTGCACAGCATTTGAAGGATACTGACAGTTATAAGTGATAAGTCCTATGATAAGAGATGCCGCCATGAAATTGAATAGACTGGGATTCATGATACATACAATAAACTCTGACCTGGCTGATTTGTATAACAGGAGAAGGAGAAGTTGTACGTGGAGCTGAAGCACATCCTAGCCCGCCAGCCAGGACCAGAGGTGGCTGAACAGCTTCAGATCTACAACAGACACTCAACGACAAGACCAAACAGCTCAAGGTAAAATAAATGACATTCTTTTAAACCCTTACCAATAAAAAGATGGTACTACCACGGTACTTCCATGTTACAGACAGTACTACCATGGCTCAATATACCTGTATGTAGTGTACCGTAATAATTACCAAAATACTGTGTACCATGGTAATTTTCTTTAAGGGAAGCCATACTGTACTAGAAGCACTACCGTAAAATCCTTTGATTGGGCAAAGGCATTGTTTAACAATGTTAAATCTGAGATGCATGGCCCTACGTGTTATCAGTGTCTGTGATATGGTGTAATAATTGATGCCCTACAAAAATCATGCTTCAAAATGATCATGAAGTTCCTCAAAAAAATAAAAAAAATCTTTGAGTGACCGATTTTTTACCATACTAATTTTTCTGAAAAGTCTGTAGCGTTATAAAACTGTCAGGAAAAAAAATTCTGAAATTTCTAATTTGAATCATAGACCCCGTTCTCACTCACTTCGTTGGAGCGCTCTGGAGCGCTCTAACTAAGACCCGCTCCTCAGGAGCGGTTCTTAGGTGAGTGAGAACGCTCAAAGTGGTCCAGGAAGCGGACTTCTGGACCGCTCCAGAAGTCCACCTTCCGAGGTGGTCTTGAGGAGCGGGTCTTATTAAGAGCGCTCCAGAGCGCTCCAACGTGCAATGTGAACGGAAAGCGTACTTTGAACGGAAGTGACGTTCCGCGCGATGAGCGATCGGGCAGGTATGGTGGCTCCTAAGGGACACGCAAACGCAAAATTTGACGTATACTTAAGCAACAAATTGTGGATTTTCACGTCAAAGACGTGAAAATCCACAAATTTGACGTATACCTTTGCAACAAATTTGTGGATTTTTACGTCAAAGACGTGAAAATCCACAAATTTGACGTATACCTATGCAACAAATATGTGGATTTTTACGTCAAAGACGTGAAAATCCACAAATTTGACGTATACCTTTGCTTGGTAATTTTTTCGTTTTTCTGTACTCAATGGCCCTGAAGGGACACGCAGACAAAACAAATCTGCGTCCAATATTCATGTCTGTCTGCGTGTCCCTTTTGGGAGACGCAGACGTGAATATTGGACGCAGATTTTCTCTCTCTCTCGCTCTCTCTCCTGTCCTTCTCCCTTCCCATTTTCTCTGTACTATGTGTATTCGAAATTCGAGAGAGAGAGAGAGAGAGAGAGAGAAAAGGAGAGAGGGGAGAGACAAATTGGAGAGAGAAACGTTGAAAGAAGAGAGAGAGAGAGAGATAGAAAGAGGATAAACAGATTGGGAGAAAAGTGAATAGGAGAGAGAGAGAGAGAGAGAAAGAGGGGAGACACAGATTGGGAGAGAGAAGGGAGAGACAGATTGGGAGAGAGAAATGAGAAAGAGGAGAGAGAGAAAGGCACATCATCGGAGAGAGAAATAGAGAGGGGCAGACAAATTGGGATAGACTGAGGAGAGAGAGGGGGGGGAAACAGATTGGGAGGGAGAAAGGAGGAAAAGATCGAGAGAAGGGGAGAGAGATAGAGAGAGAGAGAGAGAGAGATGGAAAGAAATAGAGAGAGAATAAAAGGGTGGGATAGGAGGGGGGGCAAGTCGCAACAGGATGCACACAAAGAAGTAAGTGCTTGCCTGCTTGGTAATGAGAGAAGAAGAAAATCAACAATTTCAATGTGTTTGTATTTCTTTGTGATTTTGTTGTCTATATTATTTTGTCTGAATTGAAATTGTAGACAGGAGCCTCTACTGCTCTCTATTAACATCCTTCTCTCTTCACCTTCTTTTCCCCTTTCTCTCACTACTCTATTTCCCTTTTTTTTTGTATCTCTCTCTCTCTATATACGATTTCGTCATGAAAATGCTTTAAACAAAAAATCATTGTAGGCCTACCGTATTTATTTGCTGTTGGTAACTAAATCAATGAAACAAATTAAGTCCACATGCATATGGTACCAATTTGTATTGTTATTGTTTCAGAACTTCCTCTATTAGTCATCTGATTGTACTCAAACAATGATAATGATAATGAATGAAAAACATGTACATTGCAACATGTAGCATTCCATTGACAAGCGCATCAATGTCCTCTTCTTGCTGAAAACAATAACAGTGAGACTTTAGACACAAATTATAGGGTCTGCAATTAGAAGACTATGAGATACCAGCTGGTAATCCCTTTATCAGTAACTAGGCGGGCAGACCACCCATATACGCTTATCTTCCTGGTGAAAATCTGCTCGAAAATCTGCGTCCAATATTCACGTCTGCGTGTCCATTTTGGGAGACGCAGACGTGTATATCGGACGCAGATTTTCATGTCTGCGTGTCCCTTCAGTGCCATTGAGAACAGAAAAACGAAAAAAATACCAAGCAAAGGTATACGTCAAATTTGTGGATTTTCACGTCTTTGACGTAAAAATCCACAAATTTGTTGCATAGGTATACGTCAAATTTGTGGATGTTCACGTCTTTGACGTAAAAATCCACAAATTTGTTGCATAGGTATACGTCAAATTTGTGGATTTTCACGTCTTTGACGTGAAAATCCACAAATTTGTTGCAAACGTATACGTCAAATTTTGCGTTTGCGTGTCCCTTAGGAGCCACCATAGGCAGGCACTACACATATACATGTATACGGGACGCGTCGCGAACAGGACATCAGGTGACATAGGGTTTGGATTCCGCGCGCGAAAAAATTGACCCGCCTACCTGAGCTGCCATAGCAACAAGACCACTTTGACTCGTGGAGCGGTTTGAGCCATAAAAACTGCTCGGAGTGTGAACGCTCGCAAACCGTTCCTCAAGACCCGTTCCTCTGGAGCGGTCTGGAGCGGTCTAACTAGACCACTTTCAAAGTGAGTGAGAACGGGGTCATAGATATCTTGATAATCAGACAGACAATTGGCGCGTAAAAGTCATGGGATTCCTGACCTAAAGGTTTATAGTTATGATTGCAGCATGAGCTAAATCCAGGATTTTTTTTTTAGAATCTGAGGCACAGTTACCCAATCCCTTTAAACAGTATTTGTACTTCCATTACTCATATATTTTCCAATGTTTGCATGCACTACAGGGAATGGCATCGGAGCTGAACATGTACGAATCCCAGGTCCAAGAGTACAAGTACGAGATAGAGAGACTCGCCAAAGAGCTGCAGGATGCCAAGAAGAAGTACTACGCCCAGAAGCGAAAGGAACAGCAAGCAAGGTATATAGGACACACTGCAATAATCAGAGTGGCTATCACCAAGGTCATCTTGACAGCAATATGCTTGTAGATAATGCCTCAGTCACACCTTTGCGTATTTGGCTTGCGTATTGCTGCATATTTATGGCAAGTCGTTTTAACATTTATTCCTATTTCTTGATATCAAGAAATGATTTTCTGTTGTAAAGCAATGGTAATTTTTGATATCAAGAATTTTATTTCTTGATTTCAAGAATTCAGTTCTTGATATCAAGAAATAGGAATCAATGTTAAAAAGGCTTGCCAAGAATATGCAACAATACGCCAGCTGTGACTGAGGCATAAGGCAGAAAAATTTTGAGAGACAAGAGAGACAGATATCAAAGGTGCAAATTGATCAACATACGCAACTCCTACTACCTTCCATATTCAGTTTAAAGTTTACCTTTTCAAGATTGAAAAAAAAAACCGAAATATTGTTGCTTTGTAACAAAAAATTCTCTACACGAGCTCTTACACAACGAATCATTGATATAACTTGTTTTTCTTTCTCAATATAGAGATTTTCATATTTTGGAGAAAATTTGAATGTTAGGAAACAGAGAGGGCTCAATCGATTGAATTTACCTTTTTTGTTGCTGATGTCTAATTCCTATGTTCCTTTTAAAATTTATTTATTAATATAATTTGTTTAAGTTGGATATCTATGAATATCTACTGTACCATGTTAACATACTCTTTCTTGTGTGTGTTCATTGCAGAGAGCGGGACAGAGCCTTGGCGCAAGCTGGAGCGCCACCTATCCAGCCGCAACGGACAGACGGTCCTAGGTTCACAGGAGGGGGCTTCAACTTGAAACAGACCGGGAAAGTAGGCGCTAGCTGAAGACCCCGCCCACCCCTAATTTAACCCAGCCATATTATTATATCTATTAAGAATATTGTATTGTCCAAATCTATTTTGTGGAAAGTTCTCACTTGTTACTGCCTTATATTACTAATATTTGGTATTGGCACTTTGCTATTAATCATTATGTCTGTTCCTGAAGTAATTATAGACGTTGTTTTAGATGGAAGTGAAGAAATGGGTGGGAACTCCAATTGAGAATGTTAAAATTTGGAATGAAATGGTGGTTGACAAAATTCCCAGTACTTGCAGCTGGTAGCCTGAATATACAGATTTCAATATTCAATTCTACAAGTACAATCTATGATCTCATTGTGATTTTGTTATCATTCTCTCATATTCCTGGCAAAAACACACCCCGAACTGAACCTAGACAATACAAAATAGATAATCCAGTATACAACCACAAATGTGCTTTTTGAAGTGTAATTCTTATCCTTCTTTTTACATGTACATTTTTGTTTTACTTATCTGAAAGATATAAGCTCTTATCAGTTCAGAGGATACTACATATATCAAACATGCATTTTCTAGATGGTTTTAATATATATAGTTTATACAAACATGCTTGTTTTGCCCATATATTGTATCACATATATTATGAATAAACCATTTACTACACGCCGTCCATATCTTTATTATATGCAAATTGAAGACCTTGCTGTTTATATCTTGAAATAAAATGAAACTTTCACTGAAAACACTAATTGACCGTTTTCCTCTTTGTTCTTTCATTACGGAACATGTAGTAGATTTTTTACCACATCATCTCCAAATAATTATTATATAGAAAACAAGCTCAATCATAATATAGATATAATATAGGCCTACAGGTTTTAACCTCCCATGATACATACATGTACATATGACAGTCACTTCATATTCGTATACAGGTATTTTTTAACGGGTATTTTTTTAACAAGTGTGTGTATGAAATACTAGTTTGTTAAATCAATATAGAAACGCAACACAAAAAAAAACCTAAAACCTATGTTTTTCACTTTCTTTCAATCCTGTTGACAACTTACCATTTGTGTAAAGTTGTTAAAATTCATTATTTCATTTTTCAAAAAAGTTTACTCATAGATATCTTATTCCAAGAACTCAAAGTTTACTTCCTTTATCTAGGTCCTACTAAATTACTTCTAACTACCGGTTTGCTCCCTACACTTGTAGCTGTGTAATTGTAATTTGCCTTGGAAGTATTATTAGCCAGTTTATTCAGTCATGTTTCAATAAGGATTAACTCTTTGCCTGCTTTTGGTCGGCCAATATATCAAACACTGGACTGCTACAGTCTACTTTTTGTACATGTATTACACATAAACCATGTACTCCTACTACATGTAGTGTTGAAGAAGCTGTTCATCAATACAAGTTAGAACTCGGGAGGGTTCTAGATGCTCATGCCCCTCAGAGATCACGGAAAGTGAGGAATCATGCAGACTGTCCGTGGTATACCAATGACATTCGTACTCAGAAGAGGTTACGTAGACAACTGGAGAGGAAATGGAGGGCCAATGGCCGACTTCAGACTGACAAAGAACTGTACTGTGCCCAGCGTGACCTCGTAAATTCACTTGTGAAAAAGGCGAAGCGCTCATACTTTGTAGATCTTATTGAAGACTGTCGGAATGACTCAAGAAAGCTCTTCTCAGTAGCAAACCGACTTCTGAATCGTCGACAGTTACCACCACTTCCAGCCCACACGGATAGCCAGCAAATGGCCTCTACATTCATCCACTTCTTCCAGACGAAAGTCAAGACCATCTGCGACAGTTTATCACCTGACAAAACACCACACCATCCCCTTACTTCCTCTTCCTTTGAAGTAATACAACCTACTACCCCCAATGAGATTATGTCACTCTTACGTAAACTACCCCCCAAATCATGTCAGTTAGACCCTGTTCCCACTAAATTATTAATGGACTGTTCCTCCACATTCGCTCCCATCCTTTCTTACTTGATTAACTTGAGTTTAGAGCAGGCACATGTTCCTTCCTCATTGAAAATAGCTCATGTTACTCCGTTGTTGAAGAAACCTTCTCTGGACCGAAATTCCCTCCAAAATTATCGACCAGTTTCAAACCTACCGTTTTTGTTCAAAATTCTTGAAAGGTTTGTGTTTTCTCGTCTTTCGGATTATTTTCTGGACAATAATTTGTTCGACCCTTTCCAGTCAGGTTACAGAACCCATCATAGTGTGGAAACACTGCTTGTGAATGTGTCCAACTATATCCTGCAAGGGATGGATAGGGGTAACGCAACTGCTCTCCTGCTGCTAGACTTGTCCTCCGCCTTCGACACCGTTAATCACACTATCCTTTTGAACACACTTAGTTCACTTGGTGTCAAGGGTGAGGCATACAAATGGTTCGAGTCTTATCTGTCATACCACTCTCAGATCGTTTGTATTAATGGTTGCAAATCAGTTGCTTTGCCTCTCTCTTGTGGAGTACCACAAGGTTCTGTGGGCGGGCCCACTCTTTTCTCAATTTATTTAATTGGATTGCGACAAGTTTTGTTACAACATAGCATAGATTATCATATTTATGCAGACGATATTCAACTTATGATTTCCTTCAATTCAGATCAAGCCGCTGCAGAACGAGCCGTTCATCGCCTTGAATCTTGCATGGCTGACGTTCTTGATTGGTTGCTCGCACATTCCTTGAAATTAAATTCAGACAAATGTGAATTCCTTATATTTGGTTCCAAAGTACAGCTTAGTAAAGTTAATATCAATTGCATTTCATTTTCTGGCCACATAATTCACTTGTCACAAACGTGTCGCAATCTCGGTGTTATGTTTGACTCACATATGACAATGTCTAACCAAGTTCTTAATATTTGTAGATCTGTAAGGTACCACTTGCGTAATATCGGTTTTATTCGTAAATATTTGTCCAAGTCTGCCACCGAAAAATTAGTTCATGCTCTGATTTCCTCCCGTCTTGATTTTGCCAATGCCCTCCTAATCAATCTACCCCAGAATCTAGTGTCCAAGCTTCAGAAGCTTCAAAACGCTGCAGCTCGTATTGTTTCTCTGACCACCAAGCGTACCCACATTTCCCCAGTTTTGCAGTCGCTACACTGGCTCCCAGTAAAAGATCGCATTGTTTTCAAAATTTTGTTGCTCACCTTTCATTGCGTTCACGGCTCTGCTCCTCAATACCTTATCTCTCTAATCCAAAACTACACTCCTGCAAGACCTCTGCGCTCATCCACTTCCAATTTTCTTGTAACCCCCAAAATTACCAAAACGTGGGGGGAAAGATCTTTTGCATACTCTAGTCCTAAATTATGGAATGGCCTTCCTGAAGACATCAAAAAATGTTTATCCTCTGATTCTTTCAAAACTCATCTCAAAACATTTCTTTTCAAGTCTTGATCTTTTTTCCTGTTTACACGCGCCTTGAGCACTCCACAGAGTGGATTTGGCGCGATATAAGTTACATTATTATTATTATTATTATTATTAATAACGTTACAGTCTTAGGTTCGATCCAAAGCGTATAAAGAGTTACAAAGTTATTCCATTGCTGTCATACTGGACAGTTTCAACAGTATCGGATTTACTTCTGTGGGGACTTTCGTCTACCAAGACAACTAAAGCAGGCAAAGGGACAGCATCCCGGAGAGATCGTTGAACTCTCGTCGTCGTCGGATGTCAAAGCCTCGTAGCTGGTGATGCTGAGGTAGCCTCCGCCTGTGTGTAGGGGGAGTGATGGAGATAGAGATAAAGAGAGAGATGGAGATAAAGAGAAAGATAGAGATAAAGAGAAAGATAGAGATAAAGAGAGAGAGAGATAAAGAGAGAGAGAGAGATGGGGGAGAGGAAGGAAGGAGAGGAAGGAGGAAGAGAGAGAGAAAGAGAGAGAGTAGGCAAGGGAGAATATATTAGAGAAGAGAAAAGGAGAAGGACCATGAGGAGAGAGAAAATGTGAAAGAGAAAGATGAATATAAAGAGTAGAGAAGGAAGAAAGAATACAGAGAGAAGGAAGAAAGAATACAGAGAGGAGGAGAAAGAGAGAGAGAGAGAGAGAGAGAGAGAGAGAGAGAGGGGGGGGGGGGTAGGAGGCAAGGGAGAATAGAGAGGAGAAAGAGAAAGGGAGAAGGACCATAAGGAGAGAGGAAATGTGAAAGAGATGGATATAAAGAGTGGAGAAGGCAGAAAGAATAAAGACAGAGAGGGAGAGAGAGAGAGTGTGTGAAAGGGAAAGAGTGATAGGGAGAAGAAAAGATATTGATAGAAATATGGAGAGATTGTCATTGTAAGTTGTATCAGATTTTTTTTTAAATGTGATTAAAAAAAAAGAATAAGTGGAGATATATATATATATATATATATATATATATATATATATATATGTAGAAGAATGTCTTGTTCACTGATCAAATAGGTTAAGATAGTGAGTGAGCACTTTTCCCCCCTTCTCTTTTGCCCCCCGGAAAATTGAAAATCGTGCCGGCCCGCTCCCCCCCCCCCTGGAACCGCGCCTGGAGTGACCATCTGCTAATTTACATCATGGAATGATAAATAAAAACATGACCTTACCATTTTTTAGTGACTTGGGTAGCTCCAGTTTTCTTCGGATAAGGCCACCTCCCGAGGACGAGACGGTGGATGCTCGACCCAGGGTCCTGGGAGTAGAGATGTTCGAACCAGGCGTACAGAAGTAAACCTCGGCGCCGCGTGTTCCCTCCATGAAACCGTCCGATCGGTTCGCTTGTGTGGAATAACGTCTGTCGGGGGATGAATTACTGTAAGTCGTCCTAAATCAAAACGGAAATCAAAACGGAAATCAAAACGGAAAGAAAAAGCAGTGATGTACGATTCGTGTTGCATATTGGTACAGCCCACCAGACCGATGACGGGCAGCCTACGAGACTGGCATTATCGGTCGGGTATATAGGCCGTCTGAAATTTATCTGACGGTTGAAAATCGAGACGGATGTCGGTCTAGCGAGTCTTAATTATTGTATTACCAAAAAAAAGTATCATTATTATTATTATTTAAAAAAAAAATTGTATTTGTTTATTGATTGATTGATTTAATTATTTATTGTCATTATTGTTATTATTATTATTTATTTTTTTGTGGGGGGGGGTATAAAAAGATTTTTTGACTGTCTTGTTTGCTGTTGGTCTAATGGATATGCCTTGCTGCTTCATATTGACAAGTCCATTAGAAGTAGAACCTTCTGGTATAGTGATCGAAATATTATAGGCCTTCATAATTCTGCAGCCTCCACTACAGCGCTTTTCGTTTTAGGGGACAGGGGCGGCAATTAAATGATAAACAAAACAAAATGTACAGTAGGCTTGTAGGCACCATGTGAGAGGGAAAGAGAGAGAGGATTGAGGAGTCTTGAAAAGGACTCTCGGTAATCTTTCTTGAGGGTTTGTAGTCGTGAAAAGGACTGTTTGGTATAGTCTTGAAAAAGACTGTTGGTTATCTTTCTTAGCTTATAGGAGAGGATGGATGGCGGGAGTGGCTCGACGTTTCGAACAGGTTGACAATCCGCAAGCCTATATCTACTGTTATCTACATCACCATGCAAGCCGACACTTACAAGCAGCAAAACAAAATGTGCAAATGAAATTGTAGTAAAACATGTAAATTAACTTGAATCTAGTATATTGTCACACACAGTCAATATGCTTTCTCAATTCAAATTAAACTTTCAATTTATATTTACATCAATGTTCTTTCTACTTAATTTCAGACAATCACAAGATATTGCGTCTATCAGACCTTACAGAGAGAGAGAGAGAGAACGAGAGAGAGAGAGAGAGAGAGAGAGTGGGAGGGGGAAGGGGGGGGGGGTGGGAGGGGATGTGGGAGGAGGGGGGGGGGAGACGGAGAATCAAGGCATCTGAATATAGCATGCATACTATTAACTACTAAATAGTTCATGTAAGCTTACAAGTAATCGGTGTCCTCATCATCTGATGCAAGTTCGTTGAACCCGTGGCCGAGGTAGAAATGATCACCAAGGGCATGAGAGCAGAGCATTGTCTGCACCTCGGCGTCGTTGTGATCTACCTGCAATTGAGCGATACATGACCATTCTGATGAATAATAGTAAATCATAATAAGTAATACTGAATAATGATGATAATAAATAATAATAATAATGTTCATATTAAATACTGAAAAAGCTAGATTTAAAATGCACATATCCATTTAAAGGTGATGTTTAGTTTGCCTATTCATGGAGTCCCCCCTCCGGCAGATACCGCTTGTCTTGGGCAGTTAAAAAGTGCTCCATGTTTGGTTTCATATTAATAAATGAATACAATATAGAATGTTTTAATACTTTCGGATTTTATTTACTTTAACTGTGCTAAGTTGGAAACATTGAAGTGATGGAATTCGAGCCCAAGCAACTTTAATGTACTTTTTTGTTATAAAATTATTAAGAGAAAAACAAAGTATATATTGAACAATTCCAAAGAAGCCGAAGTTTGGTTACTAACTGTCAAATTTAATTGATTCCATGAATAAACTTCAGAAGAACCAGTACTTGAAATGTCCATTCAGTATTCTAGAAGAAATGGTTCCGTGATCTTTCTTACATCTTAATTTCCTCTGCAAAGCATCCAGCACAAGCTCTGGGGTTTATGGTCCAGAGTAAGAAGATGCCAAACCATTGGCTTTCCTCATCCATATTCTTATGTTTCCTTTTTTTAACTCTCTCATTTTCTCTGTTTCTATCCTTCATACTATTCTATGACTATGAAATATAATGTATATATTTTCAAACTCTCTCTCTTTTTCTGTTTCTCTCCTTCTTTCCTATGTGTCATGCCCTTTACAAAAACGTTTAATTAATTATTTATTATTATTATTACATTATTGTATGACTATGATATACATGTATAGATTTGTAAGAAATTTTGCTTTTGTGAGTTAAATTTCTAAACCCCATGTAATTCAAAACAAACCCATTTCAATTTCAATTTCAAGTTTAATATAGACTAGCACATGCATGCACAGTTACGCAATCGAATTGACGCCTTTGGTGCAAATGACACGCTTTCATCATAATTTTACCCACCTCATTCATTGAGAGTTCTTTATTCAGTGTGGCAACTTCGGTCTTGGCTTCATGCAGTTCTTTTCTCAGCTTCGTTGAACAAATTTTGTGCCAGAAAAGGTAATTTGGAAAAAAATATAAAAGATAACAAATAAAAATAGACTTGGAAAACTCATGTGAGCGCATGCAGTTACTATACGCATCTGAACTGTCTAAATTTATTTGTCTTATGCACTATTTACATCATGTGTAATTAGTGAAAATATTGTAAACTGTGGACAAATGTAAAATAAAAACATTAATTCCACTGTCCTCATGAATATGTTAGCAATTGTTTCAGTTTTCAGGCTCAGTTAATTGTTCCCAATTATTTTACATTTTTTCACAGTTTACATTTTTTTCCACTAAGTAGGCCTTGATAGCGCAAAACACATTAATTCCACTGTTAAAGACATAACAGAAGGTGAGTACCTCATATCAATCTGTTTGCATGCAGTTTTTATTGTAAAGATTAAACTAAAAGATTAAACTAAAAGAAAAGAGAAATAATGGTAGCTATGCTTATTGTGTATATGCCCGAAAATGACCTATTGTGTGGTTGTTGTCATTAAATCGAAGAAGAAGAAAATATCTAATGTTCGGAATTCGACTTTAATTCTATATATTTTATCAACACTGTTGAACACAATAATATAAAAACCAAAGTTTAAGGTCAGTTTAATACCTTCGCATTTTCCAGAACGAGTATACTGCTGGCTTGTGCCTGTTCGATGACGAACTCATTAAAGCTATGGTCCCATCCCTCAACTCTGATCTCAGTACCGCCACCCCCATCGCCTCCAATGGCATCTTCCATGATGACGTCACCCCGCTTCTCGCATGCGATAAGTCGCTGAGGCGTTACCTTGGCGACTAAATGAAATTGATGCGGAAAATTCAACAGGCGTATGAACTATTACAGTAAAATTATCATTCATTGAGGGTGATCATCACATATAATTTAGGCTTCTCACAACCTTTAAATAATAGGCAAGATTAAAGATTTCATCAATTTATGGGGAACGTCTCAAGCCAAGTGAATCTTGACATGGTTTTCTGTTGTCTGCTGCCTCGAGATCCAGCGAAATTACTGGAGCAAAAATAGGTGACAGTGAATAGCCAGAGTCCATAATAAGTGAAGGAGGTTCTTCAAAAATCTATTACACAGGATGTAAGGACTAATTTGAAGAGAATCTGAAATGGAGAGTATACTCGCATAGCTATACTATAAAACAAACCTGTTTATTGCTATACATTGTGCAATACAGAAAGACAAAATTTATTTCGTCAAATTGAAATTGAAATTGAATTTGACAATCGGAAATGTGAAATCTTGTTTTTCTTGCTAAAAGAACATTATAAATACACCATGAGTATAGGAGTAGATATCCACTCTGTCAGGAATCATTTTAGGGATCTCTTTATTTTTAGTGGAAATCCATGCTCAGAACAATAAAAGAATCGACACTCGAAAGAGTAAACCAAACCACTTTTTGGAGTGGATTTCATTATCATTTTGGAGGGGATTCAACTATCAACCTAAATGATCCCTAATATGACTCATAAACGAGCCTGGATAACCATTCCACTATTATCCGCACATGGCTATTGATATCATCAAAGTCATTCAATACAGATAACAGGCTCCTTCAAAAAAATATATATCTTGAGAAATGTAATTTCACAGTTATTTGTAATAAAAAATGTCCCCATTTTTTGACTAACGCTCTCAAACCTTGGAACAATTTCTTGAATAATTTATTTTTTGAAATTTTGCCAAACAAATAAACAATAAAAAAAGCTTGTCATTAGCTTGCTCGATATAACCATGGACCTACTAACGAAATCGTGCAATGAATTGCTTGAAAACAATTATTTTTTTTCGAGCAAAAGAGAAAACAACCCTGTCAAATTCAAGGTGATCAGACAATTAAAGTATTTGTTAATTCAAAGGCAATTTGGAAAATGTATTTTTTTTTGGTCGGGCAACGCTTCAGTTGATTTGATCAGTGGGGTATTTCATCAACATTTGTCCGCCGACAACTGTCAGCGCTGACTAAATTTGACCAATCAGAGGCCTGGAAAATAGTCGGTGAAAATAAAATTGTATGTAAAAATGATATTAGTCTGTGAAAACCACCGACTAATTATTTCATGAAACGCCCACTGGCTTTGTGAGCTCTTTTAAGTCTCTCCTTATCCCTCGTATCGAAATATCAATTATACATGATTGATAATACATATAGCTGATTACACTCATCAATACATGTGTGATAATGAAGAGAAGTTTGGATATTATAAATGATGTTTGCCAGAATTAGCACAGAAATATATGGCAAGAGCTGTGTACTATAATGTGTGTCCTCTATACTGCTGCAATGCTCGTATCATTTTATTATTTTGAGGGCAAAATCGAGGCTTTTTTATGTCATGAAAGACACAATATTTGTATTTTTAGGTCATAATCAAACTTGATCACGTAGCGTGGATGTTCGTGGAATTTCTCGTCTCATGTCAAAGAAGTCATTAAGAAATCAAGAACTGCCAAATAGGGATATTGCCATGTTGTAGTGAAAAGCTCCCTGGTCATATCTTTATCGTGTAAACGAAGGCCTCCATTTTCGACCATACACACTTTAATAGAAAAGTAGTTCCAAGGATGCTCGTTTACGACTTACAATTTAATAGAAAAGTAGTTCCAAGGACGCTCTTTTATAACATTCACACTTTAATAGAAAATAGAAAAGTAGTTCAAATGATGCTCTTTTTTAGAAAAGTAGTTCCAAGGATGCCTTTTTATACCATACACACTTTAAATGAAAGTTATTCTCAAAGGATACTCTTTTACACCACACATACTTTAAATAGAAAAGTTGTTCCAAGGACGCTCTTTTACACCATTTACACTTCAATAGAAAAGTAATTCCAAGGATAGTTTTTTAAATGACATGATTTCTGCTGCGCAGTGCGCTGCCGGTCTACACATATTAGATCAGACTAGACAAAAAGTTGGACACATTTGATATCAATACAATGTTCAGAACTTAGGACCTTTGTCTCGCCGCGCAGTTGCAGTTCATTTACACCTTGAAAATAAAACCGCTTCGCGTGTGAACGAGCCATTAAAATCCCCCCCCCCCAAAAAAAAAACTACATAAAAACACACATAGGAGCATCACTATCCTGGCTGTGTAGTAAAAGCTGTGCTTTTGATTCTCAACATTTCAAACACCACTGTACAAAACTCAACTGATTTCACTAAAAATCGGTACTTTAGTGACAATATTGATGACACCTAAACAGCAGTAAAATACATTTTTTTCAACTTACAGATGTTAAAAAGAATAATTTTAAAATTCAAATTGTAAGTCTACTGTCAAACTTTGCTTACAGCCGCATCGGCATGATTGTATGCAGTCTATGCAATATTGTGTGGTGTGTGTATTTGTGTATGGGTCTAATAATACCTGCCTCACAGCAAGCATGCAGTGCTAAAGGTCAATACGCATTAGCATTGACTCTCTATGCTTTGCTGGAGTGCATAAAAACAGTAATTACCTTGTGAAGGGATCCGTGGGATGACTGCTCGACTGAATCTACGATCCCGCTCATTCCTCCCGTTTCGCATCTGTGAATGAGTGTCAGTCTCATCCTTCTCTCCATCATCCGTTGCTATATATACACCAAATTATTGCATAGCATAATCAATTAAGTAATACGTTTACATGCGTACTTACTAAATGTGAAATATTAAAATCAGGCAAAGTTACAAACATACAAAGAAGGTAACGAGGACAAATTCCAAACGCAATTTACTCCAAGTACCTATGAATATTTGAAGGTGCTGTATCCTGGGAATGAGGTTTGGTGTCATCTTTGATTCTCAACGTTGAAGCCCCCCTCATAGGACCTCTTCCCTCTGGAATCTGTGTTTTCCAGACTTCTGAAGTGCTGTTGGACGCAGTCTGTGGCAAGTCTTCCGTTTGAATACGTGGAGGGAGAGAGAGAGAGAGAGAGAGAGAGAGAGAAAGGGGGGGGGGGGAGAGAAAGGGACAAATAAAGGAGAAGATAAAAGAGAGTACGAGTCACAGACACTCAGAAGAGAGAGAGAGAGAGAGAGAGAGAGAGAGAGAAGTAAAAGCGGGGGAAGAAGAAGAAAATAGAAAGAGATGGTGCGAGTGCGAGAAAGTCGGAAGAGACGGAAAGAAAAAAGAGAAAGAGAGAGAGTAAGAGAGAGAGAAAGAGGGACAGATAGAGAGGGAAAGAGAGAGAGAGAAAGGGAGAAGTAAAAGCGGGGGAAGAAGAAGAAAATAGAAAGAGATGGTGCGAGTGCGAGAAAGTCGGAAGAGAGAGAGAGAGAGAGAAAAAAAGATAGAGAGGGAAAGAAAAAAGATAAAATGAGAGAGAAAGAGAGAGAGAGAGAAGGAGAGAGAGAGAGAGAGAAAGAGAGAGGAAAGAGAGAGAGAGAGAGAGGAAAAGAGAGAGAGGAAAAGAGAGAGAGGAAAAGAGAGAGAGAGAGAGAGAGAGAGAGAAAGAGAGAGAGAGAGAGGAAAAGAGAGAGCGAGAGAAAGAAGGAGAGAGAGAGAGAGATAGAAAGTTGATTGGAAACTGAAACAAATAGATCATTTTCCTAATTTGAATTCACGGACAATTTTCTTCTGCACATAATCTACATGTAGGCTAATACGTTTTTTTTCCTATTATCTCGTTAATCATGAGGATGATAAAAACCAATGACTATTTGTTTTATGGCAATTATTTTTGCAATATTGACCATCTTTACAGACAGTCCGTCAAGTAGGATACGAAAATAACAGTATTGTAATGCTCTTATTCAATTATTTTTGTATTCATCGATCATTGATATTAATTTTTGAAGGATTCATGATTTCTAGTTGAGTAAGTATTACCAAATGAGAATAGTCATGCAAATAATTTCGCAACATTACCCTTCAACTTATTAGGAACAGAGACACCGGCTAAGCTACAGAGGGCACATACCCCCCTATCGAACAACCACAAAATATTTTGCCTCGAAAGCTGGTCGATTTGTGGTCGGAGAGTTGATTGATAAGTCTGTTCCAGGCGGGCCGGTCACATCGAAATTCCTAAACCGACTATAATTCCCAGTCCGCCCCTGCCCCCTCCATCGGCTACGCCCCTGACCAGAGAGATGACTGACTGCAGTACAGTGTACATGTCATGACAAAAGGAGCGGAACATACCAGTGACGTCACTATGTTGTTCGATGAGATTGCCATGGCAACCGTTCTCCTCTTCAGTCCCGAGTACGGTGGTGAGAAGGTCCACTGCGGAATGAGCGGCGTCAAGCAGGTTTACCGCAGTCCGGGCCGCGTCCAAGAGCTTCTGACGCTCGCTCATAATTGATGTCTGGAAGCTAGAGACTAAGGCAGGCTTGCCGTTAGAACTTCTCTTTATTATATTACATTAAGAGTTATCTTACTTTGAACGACGGTTGGAAGAAGTGGGAAAATGTATGCGGCACGGATATTGTATTGGAAATGATAACAAAGAAATGAGGGCCCTCACTATACCACAACCACCACCACAATTTTTACCAATACCACCACCACAACCATCATTACTGTCATCATAATTATTATCAACATTACCACAACAACCCCATCACTATCATCACCATGATCATGACTATCATCAACACAACCACCACTATTATCACTACAATCATCGTTACCATAAACATCACCACCACCTTCACCACAAACCATCATCAATACCTCCATTACCACTACTACCACTGCATCCACCATCACATTCGCTACGGCCACCATCGCCAATGTCCACCACAAACTAACATCATCATCACCACCACCACCACCCATACCAATACCACCATCATCATCACTACCATTATCAGCATCATCACCATCATGCACCACTTAGTGCGCATACAGGCGCAATCTTACCAGTGCTCCTGCCTTGTCATGAGATGGTCCAGAAGAGAAGAAGCCAGGTAAAACTTGCTCGATCTCTATATCATCAACCAGTCACTATGAATATGATGGACAAAGAAAGAGGACAAAATATACAGTTCCTCATTCTACCCTCAACAATTGCTGTGGTAGACAAAGGAACATTCCTTCACTGCAATTATGTAACATAAGTAGAACAGGTGAATGTGTATGTGACACCTGTTCTACACATTTTTTTATAATAGCAGTGAAGTGATGTTCCTCTGTCTACGACAGCAATTGTTGAGGGTAGAATGAGGAACTGTATATTTTGTCCTCTTTCTTTGTCCGTCATTTTCATAGTGAGTACACATACTGTAGTCATTAAAATCTGTTTGAAATATATGTACCTGTATTCATTGAGTGTCTGTCGAACAGGGATAAGTCAAAGGGATTCTAATACCCCATTCACAGTGGCCTCAAACACCGCGACAGCAGCGGGACTGTCCCGCTGCTGTCGCGGTGTTGTCTTCAGTGTGAAGGCTCGGACCCGTTATAAACTATCGCGGGATAACACCGCCTCGCGATAACGCCGCGACAAACTATCGCTAGGTTCGCCTAGCTACAGCAGCGGGACAGTCCCGCTGCTGTCGCGGTGTTTACTCAGTGTGAAGGCTCTCCGCTATAACACCGCGACAAACACGTGTGATTTGTTTACTTACCTATCACTGACCTCTTTTCTCCAGCAATGGGGAACATAAAGTGAAATAGAAATAAAGTAACCAGTGGATTCAAATTGATTTTATTATTATGTAGATATTATAATTATCCAAATAAAAATATTTCACACTTCAAAAAATTAAAATATTCTGACTGGAAGCAATAAAAATGCTAGTTTTTTAAAAAGTAATATGATCGAGCTATCTACAGGGCGTATCATAATAAAGGATATTGAAGTTTAATGACGATTTATATGAAAACTACTGTTTTCATAATCAAGCATTTTATGTCTGTTGTAAAGGACAGAATGTCCTCTTTTTAATGACACCCCGATTATACTACTACTGTCACAGTTGACTGAATAACAAAGCATTGCTGTCCACCATGTGAAAGGTGCACTGTGCCAAGTTTGATAACATTTCCTTCTTAGACACATAATCCACTCATTGTTCAGCATTTCAATATGTCTGGGCTGACACAAGCACTAATCTTTAGAATTTATCTGTGAATGCTAACTTGTCACGGTGCACCTTTCACATGGTGGACAGCAATGCTTTGTTATTCAGTCAACTGTGACAGTAGAAGTATGATTGGGGTGTCATTAAAAAGAGGACATTCTGTCCTTTACAACAGACATAAGTGCTTGATTATGAAATCAGTAGTTTTCATATAAATCGTCATTAAACTTCAATATCCTTTATTATGATACGCCCTGTACATGAGGAAGAGTGTGTAAAGTACAGCTAGCGCGCGCAATTTCAAGCGATCGAAAACCCCGCGCTGAAGTATTTCCGGTCATATCGGGGTCACTCGCGGGTCATGAGCCATGCATACACGTGTTTGTTACGGAGGTAATAAAAATCACCCGCTGCAGCGTGAATGGGTACATGATATTTATCCCGCTGCTGCAGCGGGATAACTTTTCTACTGTGAATGCATTTGTAGCGGTGTTATGGCGGTGTCGCCGCTCCGCTACAACGCCGCTACAAATTTCAAAACCACTGTGAATGGGGTATAAGAGCTATAAAAGGCTACATAGGACAATCCAAACATGGTTTCCTGGAGAAAAAAATGGTCATGGTGCTTTATTGTCAGACCACTTAACGTAGTTCTTATTCATTTTGCATTCCTACCTCTTCAACAAAAAAGGACAAAAAATAGAGCCTCATAGGAGTGATGTATGCAAAATCGGTTCAATGACTTTGTAATTGCAATACAATCAAATTGATAGTGCTTGTTCATGTCATTTGTTGTCATTGGTGACTAGAAATTTAGTTCACCTGTTCCAAAACAATACACCGAATTGGTCTTAAACGAATCTGTTGCTTTTGTGATTTACAGGATTCTTTTTTTTAAATGTGTGTGTGTGGTTGTCAGGTTGTGGGTATGTTCACATAGCAAGTATTAGGGACTTTTAGATTTGCACGTCGACAGCTTTGACTGTAACGTGTGACGTCATTTTAAGGCACTGTGCATGCGTCACGTCGTCTCAGTCGGCTATCGAGAATGCGTCAACCTTGATTTTCCTAAATCTAGTACGGTACTAATATATGCCGCGTGTGCATGAAATATACAGTTCCTCAAGTAGACAATAAGGAACATCCCTTCCCTGCTATTATGTAAAAATGTGTAGAACAGGTGTCACAAAGTGCATACTCACCTGTTCTACACATTTTTACATAATATCAGTGAAGGGATCGTTCTACCACAGCAATAGGCTAGTTTCGTAATGTAACAAAATTTAATGCATACGTCTTTGTGAAGTGCCTCAATACAAATTATTTCATACCTGATAAGAATAATAGTATTTCAATAGTCATAATGCAACTGCTTATATTAAGTGTTGCTAGGTAGGTCAAGCCATAATGTTTGTCCAACCTGGCAACAGCTAATGTATGCAGTTCGGATTCTGTCTATTGAAATACTATCATTCTTATCAGGTGAATAAAATAATTTGTATTGAGGCACTTTATACAAAGACTTATGCAATAAATTTGGTTACATTACGAAAGTGGCCCATTGTTGAGGATAGAATGAGGAACTGTATTTTGTCCTCTTTCTTTGTTCGTCATGTTCATAGTGTTACTTCCTGCATGCATGTATATCGTCGAGTACAATCTAAAAGATTTCTAATTGTAGTCAACATGGGCAGTTGAGTACGTTGACACGCATGATCAGTCGGCGTTCGTCGTGTTCTCGTCCACATTTACGTCACTATTAACAAATTATTATCTATTCTCGTCACAATATGAATTAATTATGTAATTGGTAATTGTTGAAATTGTATTTATTGAAGAAAAAATGTATCGTAGCTCAAGAGCTAAATTACATGGAATATACAGACATCGCACATAGAAATACAGTGTAAACTACAGTCAATATCCCATTTACATTTTCAAAGATTCACACAAATAATCAAAGAGAGGATGGGAGAGTTTTACAGCTTATATACCCCGGTGTTAATTTATCGGAATGGAACCAACTTTAGGCATACGTCTTTGACCAAATTATGTCACTCACCTGTTAAGAATAATTGTATTTCAATAGTTAGAATGCGAATTGCATATATTAGGCGTTGCTAGGTAGGGAAAGCCTGGATGTTTGTCCTACCTAGCAACAACTAATGTAGGTAGTTGACATTCTGGCTATTGTAATACAATTACTAGTACAAGATGAATGAAATTGTTCGTATCAAGGTAGTTCACATAAACCATAAACGTATGCATTACATTTGGTTACATGACGAAAATGAGCTAGTTGCTACTCTTTTTCCTTATTTTTAATTTTTTTCTAATCTTTTGACAGGGTAGCCCATTCACCAACAAGTAGTGGTCTTCCATGGGGCCCTGAATAAACATGAACATATTTACATCGTTTATGAATTATTTATCTGGATAAAGTTATTCAATGAATTCACTCTATTAATCCTATGGCGCCATCACATCTTTGCTCTTGGCTCGAAATATACAATATATACAATAAGGCACGGGCGTAAAACGGGCCCGGGGGGGGGGGGGGGTAAATCCACCCCCTCTTTGAAGGAGGGGATGTCTTGTTTAAATATCAGTCAACTTTTAAAGGAAAAACTATCGTTAAAGTCAATCAGTCAATCAATTTTGACAAAGGTAAACTAAGTGACTATTATAGTTGTGGAAACTTCTCTTTACAATGCTATTGAAATGTTTAAAATAGGTTTCGAACCGTATCCGGACACCTAACCCCTGGACATCCACCCCCGGATAACCACCCCAGTCAACTACCCCCTAGGGCAACCACCCTCTAGGACGACTACCCCTCAGGACAAATACCCCCGGACAACTAACCCAGATAACTACCCCCTAGGACAACTATCCCCAGACAACTAACCACTAGGATAGTTCTCCAGGGGTAGTTGTCCTAGAGGTTAGTTGTCGGGGGGGGGGGGGTAGTTGTCTTGGGGGTATTTGTCCGGGGGCTAGTTGTCCTAGGGGGTAGTTGTCTGGGGGTAGTTGTCTGGGGGGGGGGGGTAGTCACCCTATCGGTTAGTCGTCCTAGGGGGTAGTTGACTGGGGTGGTTATACGAAGGGGGGGGGGGTTGATATCAAGGGGGTAGGTGTCCTAGAACCGTTTAGAACATCTTGAAATTAGTATTTTTTCTCCTTTAAAACACATTCTCACATTTATACCTTTCTCAGAGACAGCATTGAGTTCTGACCATGTAGGTACAGTTCGAAAGAAACCTTATTAAGAAATTAGGAAAAGTTGATTATAATTATGTAGTACGTAAGACTTGATGTGTGTACATTTTGGTATAATAAAAATTGGATCAATCTTGTCAAAATTTACAAATATTATTTGATTTAAATTCTGATTTATTTACCGATAGCAATACAGTATTACATTTCATACAATGTGTTTACATACACAAGAAGAGAAACTGTTGGTTGGTAAAAGGGGCCAGATAATGTGCTAGTCGGGCCTAACCCCTTAAACAGCTTATCAAAGTATTATGGTACAAATCAGGGTATAAAACGTTACAAAACAAAAATAATGAATTTACAATTACAATCGATACTTTAAAATTAAGAATACTTAACAATATCCACTGCAATATCTTACAATGTAGCCTACAATATTGATATTTCAAATTTCGCACATCAAACATGGGTGCATATTTACAATAATAGTTTGGACCAAAACTTGTCAGCTATTTCCTATCATATTTCGAATAGGAGGCCCAAAAAGAGCAATCATTCTCAGGATTTATTCTACTATGCGGGCTACTATGCTGTTCTACCAAACGGACACACCAAGAATGGGTAAGCTCTCATTAAAAAGAAAAAACTTTACCAGAACTCAACCTTTCTTTAAACCAGTTGTCTATAGAGACTTATA